CTCGGCCCGCCCGCTCCCGACGCTCTCGCCGCTCCCGCAGCGCCTTTTCGTCCTTCGAGCACGACCAGCTGCCCGAGCTGGAGCGGTGCGGGCTGCCCCTGGAGCAGGTGGCGGACGCCGTCCCCTGCTGCTCCCAGGTAGGGGAAGCGAAGGTCGGCGGGGCCTCTCCTGGAGGGTGGGCTGGCGGGCGGCTCGGCGCCATCTCGAATGGCTGCCCTGTGTGGCCTCAGGTGGCTGTGCTGGCCTCCCCTCAGCGCGGGGGCAGCTCTGGTTCCTGTGCCGAGGGTGGGTGTTGCCATCCTTGGCTGGCAGGAGGAGTTCCAGGAGGTCTCCTGCCTGTGGTTTGCCCTCGCTCCGAGGGCAAAAAAACCCTTCGCCTTACTGCATGTTTGTAATCAAGGCTTACGGTTTTCTTAGGAAAAAAGCACTTGTGAGTGTTTAAGTCATTCTTGGCAGCCATCGATAATGTCCTTTGGAAGTGCAGGAGTGATTTCTTACACGTGGAGTTTGTTGGTTTGCGGGACTACTAAAAGGAAGTGGTAGAAACCTTTTTATAACAGCTAATTTTCTTTCAAGTCCCTGACAGAAGAAGAGAAGACAATGTTTGCAGAGAAGGCTCATAAGCTGAATAGCAAGAAATGCTCTCAGAAGACAGTAAAGGAGGTAAATGCTGAGAGAATGGGATGCCCTCAGTAAGGAGGAGTAAACGGTGTTTGGCTCTTTGTGGTCAGTTCCACAGGATGGTGAGGAAGTTCCACCTGCTCTCCACATCCTCCAGCTTCTGCAGGTTACAGCTGCACTAGCAGTACTTACCATTATGTGGGTCATGTGCATAATTGTTCTGGTTTGAATTGAAGGTAAAAATACTTGATGACTCTTTAAACCATCACAACTTACTTGTTTGGGCTCTTCTATCAAGTGAAATGTAGATCTCTAACACCCTAGCTTTATGTTTAACAGTATTTTGCTATGCCTGACTTATTTTTTTTTTTTTTAATTTATGCTGTAAATTTGTGTTATTTCTTGTCATAGGTTCATGTTGCTTTTGTTTTGTGGGTGTTATTGGTTTAGGCAGTTCTTGACTGATGACTTGAAAGCACATCTTAGAGACAGCTGATTAGTGTTCTGGAGGAGCTGTGTGGTGAATGAAATGTCAGTATAATGATGTGGCCTATACCCAAGATGAATAATTACACCCTGTCGTTATTTTTGGGTTGGTTGGATATGGGAGAGAGTAGTAACACTGTTACTATTGAAGAACAGTATAGAATTAAGAGGTTAAATGTGTATGGTTGTGGTTGGAAATGCTGCTAAACAGATAATTTCTGCTATGTACTGCCTTGAAAAGGTGTTTGTCCTGTTTGTTTGTTTCTGTCTCTTTTCCTGTCCCAGCACTTCACTGAAGCAGAGTTACTCAAGAGTTTGAATTGTGTAAGGTGTGAACTTACATTATTGAAATCTTTGTTGGTATGTAAAAAGTTGTGTGTCTAAGGAAAGACACACATAAGGAAAGAAAGTCACATTTACTGATGGAGTAAATGGAGAATACTGCATTTACTTTTTAATGCTCTCTTACTAGATAATGACTGTAAACTGTGAATTAACGGTGAAGATGAATTCCAGGACTTTAATTCACTTACGTGGTGGTAGAGGGAATGACAGGATGGTCATAGCTTGGAGTAACTAGTAAAAATGGGTTAGTTAAATTAGTCAGTCTAGACTAGAAAGGAGGTGTTAGGCAATGTTTCCTGTTTTGGGGGGCCTGCCTGTCTGGGAAAAAGCTGTTTAAAATGTGGTCATCATTGTGTCGTTTAGCAGGCTGAGCATGTGTAATTAATGAAACTCCATTTTTATATGTCAGAGAGAGCTAAGTGAAATGACAGGTAATGGAGACAAATGGAGACTTCTGTGTTTCCTTCCACAAGTTGTAGCATTTTAGAAGATTGAAGTCAGGGAGAGGAATAGTTGCTTTACCAGAATAAAGATCACCATCCTTACTGTGTCAGTGGAAGTAGGCAAATATGGATATATGAGATTATGTGCTCTCATTTTATTAATCCCAGCCCTGTACACAGACAACCACGGTCACTTTGTGTAGTGAAAGGTCATGTTCCTCTTTTGGAATGGGTTTTTTTGGCCAAAGCTTACTCAGGTGGGAATAATTCCTTATTTTGTTTTAAATACTTCAAACTGATAACCAATTAACTTTGGCTAAGATGGTTGCCTGCATTCAGTTCACCTGGATGTGGATGTTACTCCCAATCTGGGTTTGAATGATCAGGTTCTATAAGGCTGCCAGGTTTCTTTTCCCATCCTATTAGAAGCTTATTGTTCATGAACAGATTTTCAGAGCAATCCAGTGACTTCCTTAGGTTGTATCAGCTTTTAATGAACCTGTTTCCTAGTCAAAGGCAACTAACAAATGTGCCAGGTGCTTTTTTTCATAAAACTTATGGAGTAAAGTTTTAAATTCCAGTTTGAAGAGTTCCTTGCCTGTGACAAGTGGTTGAACCTAAGAAAATACTTTTTTTTCTATTGCATTTTGTAAATTTAGGTGTAGTTCTTTAAAGCTGTAATGGGTTGACAAAGGTGCTAAAGAGAAATCTTGCCTTCATGGCCTGCAAGTAGACAGGCACTTTTTTTATATGAAACTTTTCCACCTAACCACAGCTATTAGTGGATGTTGCATCTTCCTCTGATATAAGGAGCTGAAGGGCTTTATTTGGGGCGAGAAGACTGTTGTTGTTTTTTTTAACTTTCTCGACTTTTCCAGACTTGTAAGGTGCCTGATCCAGTTCCTTTTGCTATGACCACAAAGATGCCCAGTGTTACTCCATCGCCAGCTGCCTGTGCTCTGTCTTGGAAGAATGATCAGGGTATGGTGATTTTAATGCAGTTGATCCTGGTAAATGAGAGCTTTCCCTTTGAGGACATTCTTAGTGATACCTGTAAAAGACTGATTATATTTTGCTAAAAGCCATCTGTGTCAGATGTTTTACACTACTGGGCTGCTGTTGTGAAAGCTAGAGGGACATCAGGGAAAATACCGCTCCTCCTCCAGCCTCTAAGAATTCTATCCCGTTTTTTAGCTCAATGGGAATATATCCACCAACAATTTCATAACTGTTATTTCAAGGTTTTAAGGAAAAAGTATTTTTTCAAGTTGTACATTTATGATTTGACAAGGCCTAATCCAAGTTCAGGGTAAAAGAATACTTGTACTGATTTCAAAAGGTTAAGAATTGTTAGATATCAAAGTTAGAAATTTGTATGATAGAGGTATTAAATAAAACAAGGGTCTTGGCCTCAGTGTGGGAGAATAGGAGGGAATATGCACTCTGTCAGTGCTTTTATAACATCCTTACTTCCTTATTGAAAGAACTCTTGAAAACGAAACCTTTCTAACCTGTACCTGTCTTCAAATGGTAGTTCTAATTAGAGTTGGGTGGTGAATACATTTATAATCTTCTACCCAACGAATATTATGTTATTCTGAAAAATGATAGAAGGTAGTGCTTATGAAGTAAGTCAAGAAGCCAGTTCATATAAGCTGTATCTGCTGTGCGGTTAAGTCTCAGGTCCAGCTTTTTAGCTCAGACTCCTGAACTGTTTTCATGTTGTCATGGTTATGGGGGAGCAAGAAACAGTAGTTCCATAAAAAGTGAAATGCTTATTAGTGCCCTCTGTGCCAGGGGTCATGCTCTGCTGTCATTGTGATGCAGATTTGATTGGGCTGATCATGCTGGCTTGAGTTGACACAACTGATCTTTCAGCTGAATGAGAGGCATAATGATAAAGGATAATTGAGATATGTTTCATGATCCTGCTTTTAATATTTCTCAGTTAAAGTTTTGTATGGTTCCCTGGAGTTATATCCATTTTTTCATACAGTAGGAGAGGTGTCTTTCCTAAGACCCCTCAGCTCAAATAGTTTAAGACTCACATGAGGGAGCATGGCCATTTGGGCTTAGGGCAACCTGTGTTAAATGTCTTAAAGTCTGGCATGCAAAATTACTTAATGTGTAAAGACAGTTACACATATCTAGTAGAGCAAGTAGGATTTTTTTTGATGAGGTTAGAGTAAGGATTGGACAGCTATGTTAAATTTCACTGAGGGCATTATGACAGTTGTGAAGAGAAAGGATTAAGGTGTATCGAAAGATATTTATCATAGCTGGATACTTTTTAATTAGTAAATGATAAATCTATTCCTTAATATTTGTGTCGGGTATTCTTGCTGCTTTGGGAGCTCATTTAGTGGAGATGAAGGAATCCTTTTAATTAGCAGACTTCTCATCTTCTTGCCCTGTAAGATTACTACCAACTCATTTAAGTGGTGTAAGCTGCCAAACTTAGCTTGTGAGGCTGTTTTGCAGCTACTGATTTGGTTTTTCCCTAACCTTATTTTCTGAAAGGGCAACGAGATCTATCCTTAAAGAGAATAATTGTTCCTGTTGGATTGTAGGCCTCTTAACATCTTCTAGGTTTGGAGGTTGGCTTTGTTTTTTCCAGTTGCCTGTATTTGTTGGGTTTTTTGCCCATCTGTACACACAATGGGATCTCTGGAAGGTGTATCAGCAGTACCAGTGTGCCTGAATTCTGTGTAAGTGGTGTTATCTTGTCATCTTGGATACAGAGGAAGAGCTGTGTGTTTTGCTTGATTGTTACCCTTCTTCACCCAGTGACAGGAGAAAGTTCACCAAAGCTTTGTCTGGATGAGGTGAGACCAGCATGGCTTCTGTAACCTCTGGTGGTTTGTCTGAAGATGGCTTTGTTCTTTTTCTTTCAGATATGCTTGCAGATATCTTCTACTTCCTGGACATTTACAGCTATGGGAAGCTGCCACCCCACTGCGAGCAGCGCTTCCTTCCTTGTGAGATTGGGTGTGTCAGATATTCCCTACAAGATGGCATCGTGGCTGATTTCCACCACTTCATAGATCCAGGTGAGTTCCAAGAAAGTCAGAGAGGTACATGGGTGAGAGGGAGGCTTTCTGGAGTCACTGCTGCCCAGGTTAGACTTCTGGTATTAAGACACATTTATTTCTTTCATTATAAATAGTCATTTTGGATAATTCCTTAAAATACCAGAGCAGTGCTGAGCTTGTTTCTGAAGAGGATTAGTGTCAGAACTTCATGTAACTCTAAAGAGAGTAGGCTAAATCCAGGAGGACCTGCACATGTTTGTGCTTTATATTTCATGTGAATGAATGTTTCTGTCAATTGGACCTAAACACCCTCTACAATGCACATTTTAAAAATGCATATAACTGAAAATAACTTTCCCAAAGGCAGTTGTGGCACTTTTACAAGGCTACAAGGGAAGATGCTGTTCCTTTCTGCATATGGAGCTGTGGTGTGTAATTGAGAGTTAAGGATCTGTTGGTGTTGGATGATTGTGCTTTCTCCTCTTCTTTTGCAGAAGTACCACCACGTGGTTTTCGCTACCACTGCCAGGCTGCTGGTGAGTATTAATGGAGATAAGGAATGGTGTGCAAAGGTGTGCAGTTTTAGACTCAGCCTATCTGACACCTATCCATATGTTATGTAAGTCTTGATAGTCTGTGTGTGTATCTTTGGCTTGAAGTGCTAATTAACAACAGGGTAACTCAAAGATACCGCTTTATATTTAAAGGTTACGTTTTGCAGCTTGGCATATATTAACAAAATTAAAATACTTAGACCATTGTTGTGTCTGGCTTGGCTTGCCTGTTTCCTCTGTGACTCTCAGTAATGTTTATAGACTCCAGTTTGTTTCTTTTAGGACATTTCCTCTCCTTGTGTACAGAGGGAGCAAACTTGGCCTGTTTTCCTACATCTGATACTTGGATAATGGCTTTTTAAAAGGGGCAGGAGTGTGAGTGTTTGCTCACAGCCAGAGCTGCTGACAGAAACAAGGTTTTGGTAGCTTAACACAGGCCCTGTCTGTGGAGAGGAAGAGTGTGTGTGTTTGTGTGCATACACATATGTATACAGAAAGATAAAAAGGAGGAGGGAACTGTATCTCTTAAGGAAACTGAACTTCTCACAACTTTGTGGGTTTTGTTGATTTGTTTTTTTATCCTGTCCCCCTTCCCCCCCTCCATTAGGTGATGAAACCCATAAGATCCCCATATCTGGATTTCACCTTCCTCGTTCTTGTTATGCAGTTGTCCTACGGGAACTTCTTGAGTTTGCCCAGCCAGCCACAGGTGCTCAGCCTCGCTTCTTCTGCAGGGTATGGTCAAGGTCAAAGCTCCAAATCTCAGCTTCTGCTTTCACTCCTGTTGGATGACTTCACTCTAAAACCTAATCAGTGTGCATATAAGTGGGGAAAGACATTTTTTCCAAAGTGTCCCAGTTCTGTGCAGGAAGAAATGGCCTCTAGAAGCCAACCTTTTTATAAAGCAGAGACCTAATTTCCTGCCTTCTTATTTTCAGCCTGCACTTCTGGCTCTAATCTACTGATGAACAGGGTCTATTGTTCTCTGACATTGTTATGACTTTAGTTAAGGGCTCCTAAGATTTGATTTAAATTGGATGTGCTCAATAATAGTCATAAATCCTGCTTTTTTTAAAGGATATTTTTACGTTTTCATGACTCTTTTCCCCAAGAGAATAACACGTGTCTTAAATTTTTGCTCAAGTTTCATTTTCCTGGGAGCAGAACATAACATTCAGAGGTGTTTAAGTTTCATAACAGGTATATTATGTTTCAATTCAATTCAAGCCTAATCTTAATCCTTAAAAAGTAGAGAGGGACAGGATCTTTGGCTCCATCCATAAATACAGGGCTCTGAAGAAATGTGCATGAAATTTGGTTCCTCTTCAAGATAGTTGTCAGGGAGATTGCATTCAGTGCCACCAACAATTTGGGTTTGGAGGTGACTTTTTCAGACCTAGACAGAAGTCACGGAAGTGTCAGAATTTTATACTGTATTCCTTTGAGATGACAGAAATCTTTTTTCCTGCAGTCTAATGACAGATTCCGAATTAACTGGTGTCTTGGTCGAATGGTCAGCATAACAGGTAGGAAATGGAGCATTTTTGTCCATCCTTTTTCCCTCCTATCCCCAGAAATAAGGGCTGTGTAGTCATGGACAGCTCTATTTGTCTCAAAAGCATGTCTCAAAGTTTTCCTAAAAGCTGGTGCTGATAGCTAGAACTGGTTTGCATGCTCCTTCCTCTTTCTTTCTCCTGCCACTTTCTAGGAATCCAGGTTTTATTAAAACCACTGGTAGAATATCTTTGAGTTTTGATGCTATGATAAGAGGCTGGCCTTTGAACAGGGACTGACTGAGAGATGAGCTGAGCAGGATAATCAGTGACTCCTGTTCTCCTGGCCTGGATTTTCACTGAACTATAGGTATTGAGAGCCACTGGGAGCTTTTTACTGTGGAAGACCTGATAGTGAAACTGTACCAGAAGAAATACCAAAAGGAGCCATCCAAGATCTGGGTGTATAGAAAACTGGATGTCTGCCTCTGGGATTTCTCCTGTAATACCAGGTGTGTTGGGTGGTTCTCTGTGTAAGTGTGCCTGTTTTCAGATTCTTCTGTGTTGGTACAAAAAGTGATACTTGCTTGCATTGTTGCAGGAGCTTATTGAGTGATGATGCAGTTTATTTAGAAATAGACTGTAGTGCTTCCTCTGCTACTAATTTAAGAAAAGAACCAATAATTCGATTGTAAATTTCAGTAGATTTTAGAAAAACCATGTAAGTTATTCTTGGAAGTCTGCTTGGAATATGGATTTTAAGATCCATTGGGTTCATCGTTGTCACTTTGTCTTTTTATAGTCAGGCAGTTTTCTGTTTCCATGAATGTCTTCACCCTAGAGGGAGACCTTAAGGAGAATGGAAAAATGTACTTTAAGACACGTTTGGAGAGGAAAGTGAGGATGTTTATGCTATGAGGTACTATTTCACATTAATGGGAAGCTTGAAATGGTTCAAATGGTTTAAATTCCATTTGTCTCTTAGGGTTCTCTTTTCACCCTGCCCCCTACCTCAGCACGAAGCAGATTGCCTGATAAGCCAGCCTTTAAACTCTGCATCAACTACTAAGGGCAAAGCTATTGAACCCTGTGAAATTTAAATGGTACTGCATGGTCACTGCAACAAAAAGATAACATTTTTAATATTTGTTCCTGTTCATCTGGACAGACCAACTGCTCTTGTTGATTAACAAATGTAGGTGCTTCTGAAATAAGCCTGAACTTCATTTCATGTAGGTGCAAGTGGCATGAGGAGAAGGATATCATCTGCTGTGCGCTGGCATCCTGTAAGAAAATGGGGTGAGTGTTGCTGAGGAGTTGTCTCCAGTGTGATGGCTTTCATATTGCTAGCATTGCAATGGTGAGAAAAGTATTAATCACATTAGAATTCACTGTTTGACTTCAGAGGTATTCTCAGTAGGCTCTGGCATAGCTCTGCTTTGGAAACTTCTATACACCCTGACATACAGTGTAGATACATAAGGTTCTGCTATCTTTTTGGTGGGGAGAAAAGGAAAAGTAAATAGTTGGGAAACAAGGAAATGCCATTTTTGACTCTGTTGACAGCAGTAGTAGCACTTAGAGAGACAATAATAAGTAGTCTTTTCGTTGGCAAAAACTCATCATGGACTGCTATGCCCCAAAAAAGAAATTGCTTTTCACACTTCCAAGTGCTGCGTTTGATTATGTGGGGGAGCAGTTTGTTTTTATTTCATGTGTAGTTGTACAACAGACTGGTGGTCTTGGAAGGATGCAGGGATGCTGCCTTAAGGTCCTTCTGCCCTCTGGTATCTGTTTGCTCTGTGCCTATTAGGCTTTGGCTGCTTTTGTTTGCCAGTTGAAGAACATAAAATGCTGTGCTTCCACACATCAGCATTCCAGCCCTCTAAGCCAAACTTTTCTTGTTTTCCTTTTTTTCCTTGGTCAAGTTACTGCATCAGTAAATCCTTTGCTAGTGCGTATGGAGTCCCACTAACAGCGGCTCACCTCCCTCTGCAAGGCTCTGATTGTGATCAAAGCACAAATACCAGGATTGTGAAGCTGAATGCTAGACATATTCAGGTCAGATTCTTTCAGTTGATACCCTGATTTATGTCCAGTTGTCAATTTCAGGTGAGCTGTTTTGTCTTTGGATGCTGTCTTTTGTGACATATGTTGGGCAGACGGATGAACTTGAAGGGTTTTGACCATGATTCTTCGGTTTGATGGATCGTGATGTCTATTTCATGTTAGCAGATACATGTACCTCATTTTGAATATTTATTTTTTTCATACAGAAAACCAAAAGTGAGAGTTCTGGATGTGACAAAACTTTGGGTCCTCCAAGACAGGATCAAGAGTTTGTCCCCTCAAATTGTGAGTTTGAAACTTTAAAGATCTCTTTCTGCTTAAAAAAATGTTAAACTTAATCCAGTTGTTGCTTTTTGAAACTTCTGGGTTTAGATGTTGCTTGTAAGTAGCGCACAGTTCTGTGTGAGCTGTGCTTATTCTCGTGTGTGGATTTCACTGAATTTCTGAAGACTCAAGCATTAAGAGCTGGCTTTTTCTTAATGGACAATCTTAAAGTCAAAAATGTCTTTTAAAATTGAGTTTTTCATAGAAATGTTGCTCTCTGATTTATGCCTTTCTGTTACATGAAGCCATTCCCATGCCAAGGTGTTTTGAAGCAGGGCCATGTTGAAAATATGTTAAGTCATCATATGTACAGATTGAGCTGGTCCTTGTTGCAAGTGTTCTTGTCACAACTCAGTTAAAACACTTCTCTTTTTGCAAAAAGGATTTTTTTGCTCAAAGGCCTTTGAGCTCAGTTCATCTGGGTGCTTTGTAGCTAACCTTCAGAGGAGCAGAATCAATTTATTTGCAAAATAAATAACTGTAAGAATTCTGAGTTTGCAGCTTGATTTCTTGTGTATAAGATTCATGCAGAACTAAACTGATCCACCTGGAAATTTTGATCTTACAGTCTTGGTGTTTATGGAGGACATGATCTGCCTGACTTTTTGTATCAGAGGTGTCGAAAAGGTTCAGCTCCACAGCACATGAAGGACAATTCCATTAATTTATGCAAGCTTTAAAGGCTGATTTGATGTGCAAACTGTGTTTAATTTAATAGGTGACTCTCCATGTGGTGTGAAGACCTCCCCTTGTGAAGCAAATGTTGTACAAGGAAGAGGAGTTATTCGATTGCTGAGAACTGCACCTGATCTGTCCAAGTCTTTCAGTAATTGAAAATCTCCTACACATCCAGGACAGCTGTAAATTATAATTTTGTTTCCCTAAGATAAATTGTAGTTTCTCCAGACTGCAGCTTTTCGTCTTCTGTGCAAATCTTGACAGTTGAAGTTCTTGTTAGAATGGTAAAACTATTGAGTGGATTTAAAGAAGATAAAAAAAAATCTTGTTGGTTATCTACAGGAAGACTTATTTTGAAGGGACCTGACAGTCACATCTTTAAAACTGCATGCTGTACTAGTTGTATTTCTTAATGAATAGAGTGCAAATTCAAGATGGATTAATCAATGTAATTGAGTTAGAAGAATTCTTTAGGGACCAGTGTGACTTGAAACAATTTGAACTTCTTGCTTTATTTCTTTTTTAAAAACCCTCCTGTCTACTGCATGTGGAAGATGGAATTTCAGTAACAGTCTTGCTTCAAAAACTGATGCAGGGGGGAAAGCATTGAAGGTGTGAAGGGCTGCCATAGGGGAATTAATTAAAAGTCAGTAGTCCCAAAAGTTTGCTGTAATATATCAGTTTTAGCCATGAAAAATTTGAGTGGTCTTTCAAGGCAAAAAAAGCAGATTTTGTATAAAATGTCTTGAAAGAAATACTGTGGAAAACTTATCTTTCTGTTAATGTTCTTAGAGGCACAGGCTGTATTATATACATCAGGAACAAGTACAGCATAGGTTTGGGTTTTTTTATTTGCATCAGTTTTCTTTTTAAGGAATGCATGTCCCTCAAACTTAGAGGCTGAAGAGACGCGTAGGTGTTATGGGGATGGTTTTTGTTTCTGTTTGGATTTTTTTGTTGGTTTTTTTTTTGGAAGAGTATCAAATTCAAACTGATATATTTCACAAGAGTTTAGTCAGGCTGGGTAGATATCAGCCATCATTATTTGGGGGCACATAAAAAAGTGGGACACTGACATTTCCTAGGAAAGTTAGATGTTGCTTTTTATGGAGGTAATGCTTGGACTAATCCCGAAAAAGTTGTCTGTCTGAGCCTTGTGCTTAGTCCATGTGTCTCCTAAGCAAGTGATTCTGAGAAATAAGAGCTTATTTTGTTAAGTTGTTCCCAGATCTTGTACCAACAGATGTCCAGTTTTGAAATACTATTTCCATAGCAACTAACTGTGTGAAGATTTCATTCCTTGTAGGTAGGGAAACTCAAGATGAGGTGCTTCATTCCCTTGAATAAAGAAAAAACTCAACAAAACCAATGCAAGCAAAGCCCAAAATGCAGCCAAAATAAGAGGTTTATTGTGCATGTTGATCAGTGTGTCAGAAAAGGCCAAATGCTGGTTTAGTTGGAAACCTGTTGCAGTTGCTGTAAGGCCAGTTCAACCCTTTCTTCCAGTGTTTTAAGATCACTGAATCATTTTTGTTCTTTCCTAACTGTTTACCTTTATCATTGAATTTCCTCAACTGACTCAGTATTTCCTTCCTTGGAGGCTGCTGTCCTACCTGCTGATTTTCACCAAATAAAAGACAGTAAAGCTCCAGGGCTGAAATTTACCAATGAAACATCTGGGAATGTTGTACCAGACTGAGAGTGTCTATCAAGTAGTGCTAAAGGCTTTTCTGTATTTGTATAGAGTTGTCCAAATCCCTTAAATGACAGCCATTGCTGCATTGATATTTCATAATATATAGAACTATTGTTTTTGAAGTATTTTCAGAGTTCACTGTTGCAATAGAAGTTTGTTTCAGTTCTTCTGTAGGAGAGAATTAATTAAAAATTGTTAAAATACTTATTCAGTGTTAAGTACACAAACCTAAGAACATTTTTTACTAAGCTTAATTGCATTACATATGAAGGCTGAGATAAAGAATGTGAGCAGTAGTGGGAAAATGCCATTAGGGTTCCATGGCATATCTGTACCTTATCACCTGTAAATTAAAATAGCACATAAGATGTAGAAGATCTAATTACATGCTGTAGGCAGTGGGCTGTTAACTGGGGCAGTAACTGTCTGAACTGTAATAACCAACAACTCTGGAGGGGTTTTTTAATAGTAAAAATCCTAAGATCTGTGCTTTTTACTAATGCTTATTTCGTATTGTTATTCTGCATTTATTGAGAGAGGAACCCTAGCAGATGTTGAAGGATGACAGAAAATTCTTTTATTTTGGAGCTCTGCTTCCCTGGCTGTTCTGCAATTTGTGAGTCTGGTTGTTTTCTGGAAAAATAAATTCTGAAAAACAAGCACAATAAAGTAATGCTTCTCTCCTTTAAGTAAAGGAAAGTAAAGATGAAGGATTGCAACCTTAGGCCACTTCCTAAGTGCAAGGAGCAGTACTGGCAAGGTGCAAACTGCCAAAATCAGGACAAAATTCTCAAGGAGACACAAAACCAAGAGAGGGCAGAATGGCTCTAGAACAGAGTTTGAGTGGTGCAGCCTGGGAGCTCTAAAGATTTACCTTCCACAGGATAAAATGTAATGGTGCCAACACTGCATGTGGGTGTTCGGTAGCACATCTGTTGAACTGGCTAAAGAGCTGTATTTGTCGAGGAGACATCTGCTAGATTCTATCAGACCTGACTTTCTGCCCTCCTCTTAGAGCAGCTGACTCACTCCCCTGACAGGAATGGGTGAAAGTCATCCTGGTTTAACACACACATTGCAAAGTTATTAGGTGTTTCTGCTCTTGTTACAATAGTAGGAGACAAGTGGTTGAATTGTGCATTGCTACTCCGAAGGTTTTGTCTGGAACAGTTGTCTGAGGGTCATGAAAACACTGACTGTAGTGACAGCTTTGCTGATCTAGTCTACATAAGTACATTGATCTGTAATCATATTCTTTTACATCCTATTTAGAGTATGTAACATACTGAAAAAATAAAGTATCTTAACACAGACTAAGCAGCAACTGCTGCTGCTTTTAATTTAACTGTTACTTATGCATTGCTGGCATAAGTAACAGTTAACGTCTTCCACTAAACTGCAGGAACCAGGGATGTGGCAGAAGTTCAGTGTTCTCTCAGATACACATATGCAAAACTTGGTTTTGCTGTCTTCAATTAGCATTTTGCTTTGGAAGGCTGATCTTACCATTAAAGCCCAAGGTGAAGATGGCCTTAGCCTTGTCCTTCATGCCCAGCTGCCCATTCCCACTTGGATGCACCCACAGCAATCCTTCTTTTTGCCTTCCATGTGTTTCACCAGATGCAGCTCTGGGTGTGCTTTGGCTTGCCTTTCTCCATACCTGCACACACACAGCACCTCTGTGTTTCTCCCCAGTCACTTGTCCCTGCTGCTGTCTCCTGTGAGTTTCCTTTTCAGGGTGAGTTCTGTCAGAAGCTCTTTGGTCAACCTCTGCTTGTTTTCCTGTTTGTCTTGGAGGAGGTGATACTTGAAAAATTACCAGGCTTGCCTCGACTTCCAGCACTGTGTGCCACAGGAGTCTTCTAAGCAGACCTCTGAACAAGGCCAAGGACTGCTCCTGAGGGAGAGGCAGCACAGCACGGGAATGTGATGCTGCTTTTTGCTGTTCTCCTCCCTCTTTGGATCCTAGACTCCACTATCTCCTGGTTACTGAAGCTAAATTTTCCCTCTGCCCTTCACGTCCCTGACCAGATACATTTGTAAGGATGAGATCCAGCAGGGACCACCTTGGCTCCTCGGTCACTTGTGTCAGGAGTGTCTGGCTCCTCACAGGAGTCTGAAGGTGTTGACAGCTTCCCTCTGGCAGGGCTACCTGCAGCAGACATCCCCTGGAATGTCGCCCATGTTGGCCTGTCCTCTGTGTCCAACCCAAGGGCTTTGACTGGCTCATTGTCTGTTCCCAGGTGGAGCTCCGCATTCCAGCTGCCCTCTCACATGGAGAGAGCTCTCCCTCCTCACCTCCCAAGTGTGAGAAAAGCAGCTGGACAGCGAGTGTGGGAAGGGAAGCCACTCTATCCCTTGACTCTTGATGCCTGTGCCAGTTCTGGGATCTGCATTATAACTGTTACATTACCAGAGAGTGTTTTCTGTGTCTAATCTTTATTGCATCCTTAGCAATGTGTCTCTCATCCAAAGCCTCGAAGATAGAAACAAGGCAGGAATTTGGTGGGGATTTTCTGTGTGGAGGATCTGTCGGGTGTCAGGCTGGAGGAGGCAGTGCTGTGATCCTGGATCAAACAGCAGCAGATACTCATTCCATGGGCTGTGTCCTGTGCCAGCTGCTAGAGGGAGTTCCATGCTGAGTCGTTCCTCACTAGGAAACTTGCTGCCATTTCAGTGATTCTGGGTCTTGAGCTGTCACAGTCAAGTGGTGGTGTGCTGAAGGTCAGGTTCTTCTGAATAAGTACTTGTTTTGGGTGAATGAAAACCACTGTTCTAGGAAACCCTGTCTCAATCTTCTTATAAAACAGTTGTATTTTTCTGGTAAGTTTTTTTAAAACCTGCGTAATTATCATAGAGGGGCTGTGCTTTTGGACCTGTTAGTTGAATTTAGAAATGCTAAACCTTTTTGCTAGCAAAGATTTCAAACTTTACCCAAAAGTGAAGTGACTCAAGTATATATGTGTGAAACTGGGTTTGTTTTCTGGTTGAAAGATGGAAGTAGCTGCAGCTGACTGCAAAGGTTTTAACAACATCATTCCTTTTGGCAGACTAAATGTACTGTGGTGGAGAAGGAGAAAAACAAGTTTGTTATCTAGTTTCTGCCCTCTTGATGATTTCTGCAGAATTCTGATCACTCACTGTCACCCTAGAGTGGTGGCCAATAAATTTTATTGCAATGATTTAGTAAAATGAAGAAGTTGGCAAACACTTCTATTAATCTAACCCGGTATTATCTCTGTTCCCTCACTTTTCTGTGGTTCTGTCTTAGAGGCTCCCATAAACTTCTCTAACTGCTATTTTTAAATAATTCCCTTCAATGCCTAGTGAACAGGTGAAGTGCAGTAGAAGTTACAAATTCCCTTATGTTGGGCTGTAATAAATTTAGTAATAGCTCCAACACATCCAGAATTAATCTTGGAGGTTTGATCATTGCACTGTGAACTTCATCAGCCAGAACATTGCCTCGGTGTCTTTCCTGGAACAGTTGATGCAAATAAACAGAAAAGGAGTGCAGTTGCTCTAGCAACAGGGATGGTGAGATAATTAACTCTTATCTTTCTGACAAGTTGTGAATTGTGCGCTGCACTGAATCTTGAAGTGGGCTGTGGCAGCACCAGATTTTATGTGTCTGTAGTACTGGAAATATTTCCCAAGATCCTGAGAAGAGTGGGGAAGGCAGTGAGAGCAGATCTTGGATGTTGTGTGTGGGAAATGGGGAGGGCTGGAATCCCTGGGGCCAGCTCCGTGGGGTAAAGGAACATTAAGGCTGGCAGTTCATTAAGGACAGTGTCTCCCAAACACCAGGAGCAAGTCAGGAATACAGGGAGATTTATTGGGAAGACTCTCTTGTCTTGACAGGGATCTTGTGGCTGCATCCTAGTCCTGGTGCAGTGTAAGGGAGGGAGAAGCAAGTCTGAGCTACAAAGGAAGAATCCATAAATAGGGGCCAGGGCTGTCAGGATGTTGTTTGGAAAGCAAATCTGTACCCAGGAAGGGTTCAGGGAGGAGAGCAGCAGCAGTGGGAGAGTTCCAGACCCATGCAGTCCCTGGAGCCAGATGTGCTGCATCCCAGGATGCTGAGGAAGCTGACTGACACCTTTTTGAGGCTGTTCTCTCACCTTTGGAAGGTCACAGAGAGCACAGGAAGTCCACAGCAATGGGAGGCAAATACTGCACCCATCTGTCAAAAGGGTGATCTAGGGCTGCTCAGTTCCACTGCACCCCTTGGAAAAATCATGGAGCAGGTCCTCTTGGAATGTGTTTTTGGGTACATGAAGGAGAAGTGGGGGACTGGAAAGAGTCAGCATGGATCTGCCAATGCTAAATCATGCCTGACCAGCCTGTTTGTTTTTTGTGATAAATTTGTGAATAAAGAAAGTTGAACATAACTAAACAGTAGTTTACTGTTTGCTCTGTAAAGGATAAAGTAGGAATTTATTTTTCTAACTGGTCATACATTTTCTCCCTCCTTCCTGCCTTTTGAGGGAAGTGGTTATTGAAGTTTGGTATACATACATTAACTCTTTGGAATTAGTTAAGTTTCACTAGCTTAATTTATCTTCCCTCCAAAATCATTATTGCTGGTTTAGTTTTGCATAAGGTTGTGGCTATACTACAGGTAACTTATAGTTATTCCTGCTTCAAAAGACATACAAGACAGTCAGGAAATTAATTCAGTCACAGGAAAACCCTGGAATAAGGAATGAGCTTGAATATGTGTGTTTGTGTATTTCTGGCTGATGGAGTAGAACAAATTGGTTGAGGAAAAAACACATAAAGCATTCTGATAAATGCACTGCTTCCAAGGTATTTTTTAAAAGGTAAAAAATGATAAGCAGCACTGAATTGTCTCAGCCATATATCTCCATGTGCTATCATTTAGTTTATTTCTCAGCGCAGAACTGAGCTTATCATTGCAGAACTTTACGTGTTTTAAATGTTGTCAAGTTGGACTCTCTTGTTTTCCCTCTGCTGGTTCTTATGGAATCTGCTTACAGAGAATTAATTTCATGGGTTTGGGGGATCATGTAAACTACTTTGTATTTTGTGGCTCTGTATTTTTGTGTATTTTTCTTTAGACAACTTTGTGCACTTGCTTACTGCTAATCTGTATTTTCCTTCATGCCTAAAATGACCACTGTGCAAGTGTTACTTGAAGAATAATAATTGATAATTTTCAAGTCCTTTTGCTGGACTTAGCAGTTAAGATCTTTGAGAATCCAGACTGTTATCCCTTAACAGAAGCCCTCTTGAGCCAGAGGGTTTTGGTGGAGGAAACAGGTTGTGCTGACTAATGTCTGTAACATTTATAAAATAAGTAGCTTTTGTTTCACAGTAGAAATGTGTTACAATGGTAATTAGATAATTCACACTGTACTTGCTTGTTACAATGAGACTGGAATACAGACCAGCTCTGCTTCTGAGCTGTGCACTTCATTTTTTATCTGCCTTCAGCTTCTCCGTGCAATGTTCTTTTTTAGGCATCCATTTTTGCAATGTTTTGTCATGCATCATGAGAAAAGGTCCTCAGAATGTCTTGCATTTCAGGTTGTCCATTGCCAGAGATATTTGTGTATTCTTTCTAAAGAACTCCTATCACTGGTCTTTGCAGTTGTTATTATTACAGATGAGTAATTGTACTTTAAGTATTATGTAAAACAAAGGCAGCCAGAAAGCAAGCCAAAATTACAGTTCTGGTAGGGTGATTTTCATAGTTTAAAATCTAGAAAATGCTGGTCATGTGTAGGAGGATGGCTGGTTCTTCTTTGAAGTGAAATTTTAGATTTTTATTACACTAACTGTTTGGGGGGTAAAGGGTATGTGGGAGGCACTGCTGTAAGTTTCTGAAACTTCCAAAGTTGAAGATGCAATAAGGAGTTCTGAAAGGATAAAAATTTTATTGCAAATGTATCTTAAAAAAAAAAAAAGGCAACAAATCCCAAAAAGCTGTTAATTAGCTTTAATACCCTTTGATAGTCCTTGGGGACGGACAGTCCATTCTTTTCCGAAGATACCAGTGGTAGGAGTTCCCCTCACATGCTTCTGATTAAATTTTTACCATTTTGAATAAAAAGTTATTTTTCCTTCTCCCTTCCCTCCCCCTTTTTTTTAAAAATTAAGGATCTACTTGCCATGTACATGCTCTCACATTGTCATTTTTTTCAGAAGCAGCAGGAGCAATGGATTATTTCTGACTTGCCCATGCAACAATCAGAAGGAAAGGGTAATGTAATGAAAATTAGGAACTCTGGGAGCTAGAACTCAGAAATTCAGGAGTCTGACAGTAAATAGGCTAGTAGAGTGTTTCTAGTTCTTATCAGCTGCCCATCTAAATTCTTACCTTACCTGTGACATTCTTATGCATTGTTGTCCCAAACAGGAGATTCATTGGTCATCAATGATTTTTTCCATATCTTTATTTATATGTGCATGTATAATATATACAAAGAACACATTTAATAAAATGTCTTAAAAAATCATCTTGCTTCAACCTCCATAAAAACAGTTTCTGTGTTGGACAGTGGTGAAAGCTGTGACATTTGCATGACTCAGTTAACAAGACCACCCTTCCTTGATGAAATGCAGCTGGTGACCTTGAAACCTTTTGTACATCTGGGGATACATCAGCAGCTCCGTTCCTCTGTTCTCCAAATAGACCTGACTGGTTTCTTTTTTCAGAAAGTTGCAAGTCTGGAAGACTGGTTATTTTTGGATGACTGGGTGCAGCAGTGCTCCACATGCATTTTCTGCTGTGAGAGTGTGTGTTAGTGCTCACTGTACATCAAGCACTTCTTTCCAGGGAAGCAAGAATGTTCTCCCAGAACTTGAAGGCAGAGCCTTTGGCTTTCATTTCATAATTCAACTTCTTGAAATAAGAAAGAGGGATTGATTTCTTTTCTTGCAGGGATGTTGTGCCTCAGCAATCCTGGAGATGGCAGTGGCTTCTTCATTCATGCATTCTCCACATCCTCCCTTATGCTCTCATTCCTTGGTGGTATCAAACCAGAAACCTCACTGAAGAGATTTTGCCTTAGGATGCTTTTCAACTGCTTTAAGCTGATCTAGAACTGTTCCCAACTGAGGTCCAGAAATTCAGTCTTGCTGGTGATGCAAGAGGTTTTTCTCATAGCATGTGTGCTAATTCACATCCAAGGTTTGAATAATTTGGTTCTAGCCAGAGACACAAAGGTGTCTGGGACTCCATGGGGAGAGATGGGAGCCAGTAGAGTGGACACTGAAAGGAGAAAGCAGTGCATGCTTTCCCAGATTTCTTTCCTCCCCAGCTTTCCACTCCATCTGCTGATGCTGGAGGGAAAAGGAGAACCCTTCATCTGTTCCATTCACTGCTGTAGGGAGAGGTACTCACGTCATCTCATAGTCAGTGTTCTTCTCTTTCTGGCAGCAGCAGCAATAGACAATGATCCCAATCACCACAATGGCAGCAACAACACCCCCAATGATGCCAGCATACAGGGCTATGTTCATGGATGCTGCGTGGGAAGGGAGGAGTTAGCAGGGGGAATGATGGCAAATGGGCTCAGCACGATCACTGCATCTCAAACCCCCCACCAGCTCCAGAATCAGTGGAAACCACATTTGTTTGACTACAGCAACTGGAAATAGTTCTGTACTGGGTAGTACAGGAGTGTGGGCTACTGACAGGGAGGAGCTCCTGCATCTGAACAATTGCTCTTCTTTGTCTATATAAAGTTTAGTTTCAGACATTGCAAATTCAGCGTTGTCTGAATCTACAGAGCTTTTTTTGTCATTTTTGAACTAACCCAATGAGTTGGTGAGGGCTCTACCAGCATGTAAACCAGTGGAGAGGGTCTCTCTTAAAGGTGTGCAGAAAACAGATGATAACATTCCCCTCCTTTAGTGTTTTGACTCTGAGCTAAGCTCTCCTCTCCTTTACTTCTCTTCCCCGAGGCAGCCCCATCTCTTACGTGGCATGATGCTGACTGTCATGTTGCAAAATTCCGTCCCCACGGTATTTGTTGAAGTGCAGATGTAAAAGCCAGAGGTGTCTGCTGAGACGTTCTTCAGGGTTATTTGTTGCCCTGTTGTGAAACACAAATCAGGCCAAAAAAGAAAAGAATTAAAGCAGGGAAGGAAGTGGCAACAGCAGCCCTCCAGTTCCAGCCCAGGGTGGTTGGAGTGATGAGAGGTTATTAAAGTTGATGGATTGCTCTGTCTTGCTCAGGGGCTGCCATGCTCATCCCTACCTTTTAGAGTGATTTGTGGGAGGATAAACAGAAGTGTGCTGTTTTGATTACAGGGAACATGTGATATTTGAACATTCCTTTTAGAAAGAAGATTGTAGGTGGAGGGGAGAGAAGTGTCTGTGCTTAGAGAAAGCTTTCTTTTTTTTGGTACTGGATTTTGAGAAATGTCAGATGTGCAAAGCAGGACCTGGCTCTGAGAAATGGCCATCTTGGTGAATTAGCTTGTTAAACAAGAGAAAGCTTCTCAATCCTGCAACTCTTAGGATTCCAGATATGAATTATTTAGCAGTGAGGAGAAATGTTGATTTGGGTATGTGTAGTCCATGCTTTTTGCTTGTGACAAAAGTCCAGCTTCCTGCTCTGATAGCAAAATACTGAAGACTTTGTCATGACACTCCTGTTTGCCTGCGATCTCATTTTTATGTTTAGGATTTGCTGGCACCTAGTGCCAGATAGTAGAAGAGCATGCAAATTGAGAAATAGACCGTATGCTTGCTTGATTTTTAATTTTTATTTTCTTTTAGTCTCTACATACTCCTGGTGTTGTCTCCCCACCCTTTTTTTTGTGTGTGTGGGGGAGGTGTGTGTGTGATCTTTATAGCTCTCAAAGTCTCAGTCTAGAAGTGGAATTTAAATCCTCCTAATAAATCAAAATAATTGAGTGAAATGGGAAAAAATGTGGGTCAGGTACTGTCAGCTGTGGAGTGTCTCCTGACTGGGTTCTGCACACTTCGCAGCAGTGGTGCTTAGTACCGAAGGCAATTTCGTGTAGTGACAGTAGGGCACGCAGCCAGCCTGGGGCACCAGGGGACAGCTGGCACATTGCTTGGCATTGAAAGCAGAAATGAGGTGGGAATGGGCCAGCAGAAACTCCTGTCCCGGGGAAGAACAGGGTGAGAGCAGAAGCTGCTGCTGTAACAATTCCCGCTGTGCTCAGGGCTGTGCGTGATGCGCTGGCACCACTTAGTGGCCAGTGAAATGAATGAAGTTCCTGGCCCTGGTGATACTTTGTCCTCTGCATAGTTTATGCAAAAATCGGCTCCTGAATGTAGAATATCCTGTGGAGTCTCATAATCTTGAGTTTACTTCCCTTAAACCAGGAAGGGTAGGTACAGAAACTTAGTTTCCCCGAAGCTGGACAGGCCAGGAAAAAACAAAGTTGTTTAATGAAATAAATCTGAGTTCTCTGTCACTGAAACACTTAAAAGAGCATTAAACACTCATTCCTGTATAAATAGTTCTGTCAAAGTCCTGTTGTGGGAATTCAGCTCCTTTTTCCTTCCATATTCTGACTTAAAATGAAAGCAAATGAAATATTAGGGACTGTGTGTCAGTCCTAAAGAACCAGAAGCCTACTTCATGCTCCAAGCAGGAGTGCTGTAACTTTCTCATACGCCCTTCCTCTAGGTGAGGGGTCCTCTCTGGAAGAAAGCTTCTGGAGCCAACTTTTGTTTCCTTCTCTTTAGAAAGAGATCTGCTCTTTGTCCAGCAAGCTGGGATGTAAAGACAGTTAGAAACCTCAGTGTTGTTCCTCATGTTATGCCTTACCCCAGCAATTGAGAAATAATTATTTCTGGCTGCTCCCAGAGCTTTCTCACCAGGGGAGAGCTGAAGCTAAAGTCTGACCATTCTTACTTCAGGTAAAAGTCCTTTTCCCCCTGCTATGTTACTGATGAGCACGTGTTGTATCAAAAGGACAACTTTTCAAAATCCTGTTCAGAGAACATCCTTGAATAAGCCTTAAGAGTGTTTATTTGCATTTTAAAATCTTTCTAGCCCTCGACTGCAGAAACATCAATGCCTTTGTGTCTTTGGCTTTCCCATACCTTTTGCGTGTGGTAGCGCACGGGGCTGATTTTGCACATCGAAGCTTTTCCAGCTGTATGTGGGCGTTGGGGAGCCCTCGTGAGAAACACAAGTTAGGTTGATTGTCTGCCCATATTCTGGTGTCCCCAGAATCTTGCACTCAGGCTTGGATGGTGCGACTGAAGGAAGAAAAAAGGAACCGTATTAATCAGAAGCAGTTGCATGTTTCAGCCCATCTGCATCTGTGGTTTTTATTCTTGCAGGCAGAGGCTGGTCTTGCACCTGTCACATCCTTAAAGGAGCTTAAAGTGAATTTGGATCTAATTTGTTCCTAATTTGTTTCTCCCTTTTTGGAAATGGAAAGCCAAGGAATGAATTGCAATATGCTTTTTGGGATATGTCTAATAGTGTGAGGTGACCTGTCTTTTGATAACTGTGTGACAGGCCACAGGGGGGGATGAGGAAAGCCCTGTAATGCTGCCTGGATTAGTAGGAAAGCGAGCTGTACAACTCCAAAGGCTATCTTCTACAGCCGGGTGTCTGGGGGAGTTGCCTCCTCTATGCATCTCAGCGTCCTTCCACAGGAGTAGGAAAAGACCAAAGGTGAATTAGGGATGACAACTTTTTTTGTTGTTGTTTTTAGAAAATCTGTTGTTTAAACTAATGTGGACATTAGAGGAAGGGCAGGTGTGCCTAACAGGGGTGTGGCATTGCCTGTGTCACCTCACCGAGGACTTGGAGATCCAGGCGTACGGACTTTGGGGACTCGTCGTTGCGGAGGCGGACGGCGCAGACGTAGGTCCCGTTGTCCTCCATGGTCACAGCACTCAGGGTGATGCTGATGTCCCCACTGTCAACATCACCAGTGAACTGGATGCGATGGTCGTAGCCCTCCGCATAGCGCACGAACCCATCGAAATACCGTGAAATAATATCAGACTGGCGGAGACGGAGGGGACAGGATCAGTCTCGGTTTCTCCTGTGTGAGTCTGCCACCTAACTCGATGAATCAGCCCACTCTGAAAGAGCAGCTTGGGAAAGAGCACCTTAAACTGCACCAGTTTGAGGAAACGCCAAGAAAAACATAGAAATTCAAAAGGATCTCTGATCTCTGTTTCTGTCTGGAATCCCCTTCTCACACCTCATCTCAAATCAGAGACAACTGATTTCTTTTGCTGGGGCTTATTCACTTTTCCTCATCATGAGGAGAGGACAGCATGAGACTTGTTTGAGGCCCATGTCAGTCAAATTGCCCTGTGGTTACACAAACTCTCCCAGCAAGGATCTCCAGAGAAGAAACCTTCGGCAGTTCCTGCAAGGAGATCTCCAAAGGCTGCTTCCCCTCTCACTAATTTCCAATAAGTCAAGAACTTTAAAAAGTTTCTTAACGTTCAAATACTTTAAATGAATGACCTCAAGAATCTCTCCATGTACTGTTATCAACTTAAAACTTTCTATATAGTATCAAAGATACTATATGTGTATTAGACATATATATTTATATATATGCATATCTTTTTAGAAATTATCTGAGTGTTTCGCATGTTCTAATAGATGTAAACCCCCAGGACATACAGTGATGTAGCCTCAGTAAAGAGTTGTGAGACCAGGAGAGAGGGGTGGGGGCTTGCCTAGTGTTGTGCAATAGATTTGAGATAAATTACATCTAGACTAAGCATTTCTGTTTGCACGGCTCTGGGATTAAAAAAAGTCTGGAAGAAATCTTTTTTTTTCCAACATCCACTCCCACCCACAGCTTCCACCTCCTGTCCCTTCTTGGATGCCCTCTCATCTGTTTCTTTATGCAGCTCAGTTTACCTCGGTATAGATTTTCCTCCAGAAAACCATGTCTCCTCTGTCAATAATAACATTTGTTTTAAAATTACAGCGCAGGGTAGCATTGCTTCCTCTTGCCACTTGGATTTGCTTCGCCGGTGCTTCCACAGTGAGGGCATGAGCAGACACCAGAACTGGAAAGAGAACAAATACCACACTCAGCAAAAATAACATCTGGATCCCATGGCAGTCTCTTTGGCTTCCTTACATGCCACAGTAACCCCTCTTTCCCTGTCATCCAGGACATTCCCCACTGAGGTGATGTGGGCTGGGGCTGATTGGCTCTGGGAAGTTGCTGTACAGGATGGCTTAGAGCTAAACTCTGCTCTCTGTCCCTTGCTTCCCTCGTCTTCACCTACTCATATATTGCCATGGAGTTTAGAAAGACTCTTATTTTTTTTCCTGAGCCCTCCTTCAGCGTGACTGACACCCTTTGACAGTTCAGAATGTACAGAGGGAGACAGATGAACAGATACTACAAGTGCATCAGGAGTCTCAAGGATTCAGGCTAAACTAACAAACTGATATTGTCAAATTTCAAGGATCAGGAAGACTGTCAAATAACTTGCCTCGATCCAAATCCATAGAAAAGTGACATTTTGTGCTAAGGAATCAAAACCTGTTCATGTTTTTCATCCCTGAAAACAGAAAAACCTAGAGAAGCAAAGAGTGATTGAAAGAAACAAGGAAAGAATAGCTCTTAGGTTTTTTAAAAAATGAGTAAGGTAGTAGTCACCTTTCTCCAAGAAAACTCCAGCTCCTGCCTCTGGAGCACAGGAATAGCTGAGAGCTGACTAAAACAGAAATCCCTCTGTGCCCTGGGGAAGGGCACAGGGCAGGTGTTTCTTTTACACTGAATTCCCTTTGACTTGCTCTTAATTCATCGTGTGTGAGCATTGCCTGGTGGGCAGGTCTTTGTTCATCTCAGAATTGAGCTGGACATTTGTGTCTGCCCCACCATAGGTGACCTCCATGCCTGCAGGAATTCATGGTTAAAAACACCTGTTTTCTCCTAACAGTTTGTGTGCGTTCTGTGTTTGGGTTTGTTGGTTTGAGGTTTTGGGGTTGTTCTTTTTTGTTTGGTTGTTGTTGTTTTTTTCTTCTTTGTTTTGTTTTTTGGTTGTTTTTTTTTTTATGGCACCATCATTTGTGGAAATCATTTGGGAAAACTGTAAATGGCCAGGAAAGAAGTGCTGCTCAGAGGTGGTCCCATGGCAAAGAGGAACCTGGTGCAGTAAGGAGGGAAGACGAGGAGGTCTTCTCCCATGAGGGGCATGCTGCATGTAGTGGTGAAGGTTTGCTTCTGAAAACTGAGTCACTGTTCCCTGGAGAGGATTCATCTGAAAAGTTGCCACTGAGCAAACCTTGGATCCTCATTCTGCCATATCTTTGTCCAGGTTAGATCTATAAGAAAGTGTAATGTATAAGGGAGAGGGAAAAAGATTTCTAGATTCTGCCTTGAGTTACAAACTGGTTGTGGATACCCACTTTTTTAGACAGGAAAAGCACACAGCCCCGTGCACTAGGTCAGTAAATGAACGCCATGGGCAAGGTGAGCACTGCCAGATCCTTGACTAGCAGTGAACAAGTGTCCCTTAGGAAATAACACTGTTGGGACACAAAAGGTTGTGTTGTCACTGCACTAGGGACCTGGGGTGACAATTCAGGCAATTAATTACACAGGGTGCCGTGGGACAGCTGGCACAGGGATCTGCTTTTAGCCTAAATTCCCATCTTTCTGCATGCCCTGCCCCACGACCGAGTTGTTCTGTGGGCTCCCACAGTTCATTAGCAAGGTGTGTTCACCTCTTCCTCTGTTACATGGCAGGGGTGACTTCTGTTCTCTTGGGGATTATTTAATTTACAACTGCTGACAGTTATGAGAAGGAAACCAGGGCAAAGTATTTCTAATGTGCTTTTATTGCAGCCGCTCCCAGATCTTTACCTGCTCTGGAGTACCCAGGGCAAGGCCCATGTTTGCATAGCCCCGAGGCACTTTCTGACTGCTGTTTTCATATGCCCTCCATATGAGAGACACCTGTGAAAGCTTTCTCCTCACTTGTTGTGACTGGATAGAGATATTTCCCTGCATTTAGGTGAAAAGCAACACTGTCTGTATTAGGAGATGGAGCAAAACCCATTTCCTGATCTTTTTGTCACTCAGAAACTGGTTCCACTGAGCTGGGGCTCACTGACAGGTCATAAACACAGCCCTGAGGCAGAGAAGAAAACACCTAACCCTAAGACTTCCTTTCCTTCTTCCAATTGGATGAGCCAAATCCTACAATAAATGAGATCTTTCTTTTCTTTCAGACATGTTTGGTGCAGAGTTGGGGAGCAGCTGAGCCCAGCACTGCCTGTGAGGCACAGCCTGTAACACACTTATTCATCTGCTGCTATCACCCTCACATGCCACTGCGTCTGGTGCTCTTCATTTGTCACCCACCTCTCTTTCTGCATCCCAGAAAGAGCTTCCCTCTCTCGTGGAAGCAACAGTTTCATTCTGGAAGGTCACTGACTTGGGCTGATTTCCTCCTTCCCACTTCTCACCGCATTTCACTTCATGGTCAGCATGTTTAAAAGTTGTGTTTATTCTTCAGAGATTGGGTTTGGTTTTTTTTTGAGGGAAAACAGAATCTATTCAAAATATGGCTGAAGGGAAGGGAAGCAAATTCTGAAAGATCTCCAAAAAAAAAGAGAGAACAAATAGCCTACATGCTACTAGAGAGACAGAAGGACAATATGACCTAGATTTAAGCCTTAGAATTACTTTTTTTTGTGTTATCACTTTGTATGTTTATAACATTTTAAGAAATTGAGGAAGGTTTTATCTCCCTCTGCTTAACTTAGAGATTTGTACTTGTACAAAAGAAGAAGACAATCAAAGTGACATTTCTACTTTCCTTACTCAGTAGTTGTTAGCTGAACTGAAGGGCAATTATTGCAGGAATATTTTGTTTGCTGAAATAAACTGATATTCTGATCAAGCAAAAAAAAAAAAAAGCTTCATTTTACATACTTACTTCTCTCTGAAAAGTTCCCCATACTTAGTTTGCATAGCGTGAAAGGTGAAAATAATGAAAAAGGAGAGTGAATACCAATGGCATTGTACAAGTTACATAATGATCATCAAACCATGACCCAAGTCACATTTGTTGCATGTGGAGTCCATCCACTTTTTCTGATTACTTTAAACTTTGTGAATTTCCTTTTTGTGGGTCTTGTTTATGTGAGGTTTTCAGGATTTTTTCATTAAAAATCCCCAAGCAATTCCCATGTGCATTGCTTGGTCTGAGGCCTGGAATAACATGTAGGAACATTGATATAAGAATATGAGACTGGATAAAAAGCAGTGGAACTGAGACTTCCAAAGGAGGATTTTCCTTTTTCAGAGATAAATATTGTACTAACAGAAGCTTATAAAGTTGTTTATTGGAAATACTTTGTGAAGAACAGCATCTTTTCCCATTTCTAACAGTTTTAGAAGAAGCCTGTGTGTCTGGACATTCAGTACAGAGATGGTACATACACTTGTCCGGCCATAAACACAGAGGAACCTTCACTAAACGGAACAGAGACATACAAAGCGTGCTGGAGTCCTTGTACTTTGTAGTGCTGTTTCCTTCCACCCAACCCTTGAGGACATAACCAAATTAGTACTCACTTGCACTGAAAATGAACAGTCCCAGTCCTTTCATTGCCGGCCCCCTCATCTCTCCTTTGTTTCACCTCAAGGTGCTCTTCCTTGTGATCTCCAGGAGGCTGGGTAGGTAATTGGCTTTCCCTGAAGGGCTGCTTTACAGTGGCATCACAGGTTCACTTCCTCATCTCCTTTAAAGTACATGTGTCCCAGCCTGCCCCTCCCTTCCCAGCCAGAATGACAAGCCACATCACCAGTAGGCTTTGACATCACTTGCTGCTCTCTGTAAACTCCTTTCCCAGTTGTGAACTTTCTCCCACAGTTCAGTGGCTTTTCCCTCCCAACGCGCAGGTGCATGAAGCAAGGGAAGGGTGTGGTGGGACTGGGAGTGGTGTGCAGTGCAGCTGAAAACAGACTAAACCTCTTTTTTTCTCAAATATTTATTAAGGAACAGAGTTTAAAATGTATTAAAGTGTTCCACAGTGCAGGCAGCAGCCCACATCCAGGCTTTAAGGACCTGAAGGGCCTAATTCCATTAAGTACTGATATGAACAAGTAGTTGATGGGAATTGGGTGACTAATGGGTTATCTATCTTACTAAATATAAGTAAGATGCATTTCAGCCAGGTTCTTACTCTTTTGTGCCCACTGTTCCACTGCCCAGTGTGTGGCTTGCACAACAGCCACAGGTGCCAAGGGTACTTCTCCCTCTCTGCTGCAAAATCTGGGATTACCCGGCCCGTGGTTTGCAGCACTCTGGTGATGGATCTGTCGAGGTGTGGGCACTGCACAGACAGCACTGCTCACATGCTCCAGCTGGGCACTTGGAAGTCACAAATAACTCCTGCTATAATTGACTGAAGAATAAAAGGGGGACTGATGGTAGCTGAGGCAAATATCTGACATTGCTTTCAACTGAGGGCAGTGTGTCTTCTAAACACTTCACTGCACTAGGCAGCAAGGGATGTTTCCATGTGGGATAGTCATCTATGCTCCATTTCTAGCCTTTTGAGGGACAAAGTTGCTTTTAGGATGTGAAGGATCACTTCAGACATCTTAGATGGGGACATCAAATTCTTAGACATCATTTTGAGATGATGTTGTATAATGCAGTATATTATTGATGAACTTTGTTGTGGATTTTGAAGGAGGCTTCCTCAGAAGTAGTCTACACTGGATACCTGTGTTTAGTGCAGTAAAGCAGATCTGTATCTTGCTCTTGTGCTAACATCAGACTTGTGTGGTAAATCTGCCCAAAGCCATGCTGAAGATTTGCCTTTTGTTCTATATGGCAGTTGTTCAAAATACCTCCAAGACAATGAAACTTAGGAGTGACTGGAAATCCAATCCCTCTGATAGAAAGGATCATCTATCTATACTTCTGTGCTTGATGCACAGCTTCAGTTCTCTTCAGACTGTTAGCACAAAGCAAAATAAAGCATATAAAAGTACAGAAACTTTATTCTTCAGGAATCTTCCAAATGAGGACAGACAGTAGAAAAATTCATCCTGTTATGTCTCATTTTTGGCAGGCTGCAGGAGATGGCAAGGACCCTGCAAAGAGAAGGGGAGATATTTTCCAAAAGCAGCTTGTTAACTAACCTCAAAATGTTAACTGTAAATTACTTAATATGTAAACAAAGCTGGATCAAGGTCAGTAGTCTCCTTTCTGGTCTTTGGAGTCCACAAGGATAAGGTTCCTCACAAGGATGAGTTTCTTAAATGTTTACCTCCCTTAAAGACTTAAAGATCTTTGTCACTTGATCCCACGTCCTCCAGAAAGAGACATGCAGGATCTTTACTCCAGCTTCCACTTTTGATTTTGCTCCCATTTAGTATTTTGAGTCTGATGAACAGAGGTAGTGACAGAAATGCTATCACTGTACACCATCTGCCCACACTTCCAGTGTTAATTCTCAGTTCCTCACATAACAGCTTCACATAAGCAAAGGAAGTTAGTGAAGTGCAGAGATTATAACCAGCTTGGTCAGCTTACTGTTATCCTCTTCACAGGATCGTTTATACAACCTCTCTTTCCTCTCTTCTTCCCAGTAACTTCAAAACCCACTTGACTGATTTCAGTTGAATTGGATGGACAGATAGCAATCTTAAATATGGGAAATTCTTTCAGTCTCATAAAAATCAGTAATCCAAATCAGTTGGGATAAGAGAGAAATCTAAATGGTACCTCTTAGGCATTAATACTTGTCTTCCATTCCAAGAATCTATGGTTCCACAACATGATGGGTCTCACCTTTTGTGCAGCCAGGCACACAGGGAAATGTGGTAGAGTGAGTAGTCACAGAGCCTGCCTCGTCTCATGTTGGTGTGGAAGTGATTCACTGGTGCGAGATTTTTAGCCTGCTTCTATCAACCACTCTGATGCATCACAAGTAAATAAATTGGCACTGAGATGGATTATATTCTGTTGTTTTGGAGACTTGGCTAAAAGTGGTTTCCTAGCTATCATGGAGAGGGTATGCTTCAGCACCTGATACTTACATAAATCTGATATTAAGATGTTTGTTTTAGATGCTCTATATTTATAGCTTTTGTTAGTTATTTAAGCCTAGATTGGAAAAGGTAGTTAGGCACATTTATTCTGTCACTTTTCCCTGACAGCTTTCATTGGGGGTCTCAGGAGCAGGCTGCTTTAATGTGGGCAATTTTAAGAGGTTATATATCTGTTTCTGGGTTGATTTTCTTTCTTTGTCTAGCATGAGCTGCCAAAGCTCACAAGCATTGATGCCACAGCTAAAAGAGCTGCCACAGGTACCAGCAATGCTGCCAAAGCTTTGCATATCAGCAAATATATTCTTCATCCCTCACCTGTGGGCAGTGCAAACCCTTGAAGTTTTATTTTTGCTGATGGCTGCAGCTCTGGGGAATCTTTTTTGCTGATATATAGGATTTTTAGGGGATATTATTATGTTATTTAAATAAAACTGCCACTGACATGAAAAGCTTTAGTATGAAACCAGGGTGACTTCATTGTGTTGCCAAAAATACACACTCTGATAAGGCTGGCCTCTGAAAGCTTTACAGTGAGGAGTATGCATAGGTAGCAGTGTGCTCACACTATAAATTTTGTAACTCCTGCCAGTAAAGAGAAGGAGGAACATCAAGATCTCACCTTTCCCTCCTAAGAGGGCAGCACCTGTTTGTGTCAGGTTCATCTATGAATGAATACATTAACCACCAGTGACAGGTGCCCAACCACTTACAGCTCTTTTTGCTATGTTTGCACATGAAAACAGTCATTAGCAAAGATTTCTGTCACCTCTGCTCTGTGTTGTCACCTTGATCCCAAAATCCAAAACTGGGGCCAGCAGTGAGAAGGAGCTGCTAGGCTGCCTGCTCTGAGTGTTCTCCACAAGTCTGTAAGCTACAGAGTCCTCTCACCATCTGTACATCTGAAGGCTTGCAGTGGGGATGGCAGGGCCTCCACCATCCTTGTCTGCACTTGTATCCTAAAGATTCACAAACAGGATTTTCAGAAGCAGTTCAGTGACTTAAAAGCATCTGTTTTTATTGGATGCCAATAAAAAATGTGTATGTGCTACCACAACATTTAGGTCCTTTGGAAGCTCGTCTCCAATATAAGGCAGTCTATAAACAAATATCTTTAGATCACTTCTTGCCACAATTAGCAGTAATTAACAAGAACACATGGTCACTGCATTGCAGAAGCAGCTAGAAATTGCATTACCCAGAGGAGGTGTCTGCAGGATTGACACAATTCATCCTCTTTTTGTGCATGAAACTGTTAGGATCTCCTCAAGCCCGTAATCAGCCATCCCTTCCTCTCCTTGCTGTGACACCCAAGATTCAGTATACCACCTTCTCTTTTCCCTGCTTGCTCACCCCTGTACCTGCATGAACACAAGTCTGGGCTGTGAACACACCAAGACTCGAGTGGCTGTGTCACAGCTCCTCCTTGCCATCATGTGGCATCCCCACAGACACAGCTCCCATCCCCATGTGGGGATGCAGCAGTCAGGCAAGAAGGAAGGAGGTGTGCAGGCCCTGCCCAGCATGACACAGCAACAAAGGTATCTGTGGTATGAGGTAGGTGAGTTTTCTTTTCCACTTCCTTTCTAGTTTGCTTGTTTGTTTACAAAGGGAATCACCAGTGGGATGTTTTTGCATGACTCACAACTGGAGCCCCCAGTGCAGATAAACAGCACTCAGACTTTCATCTGGCTCTGTCCTGGGCCAGCCTGGTCCATGAGCTTTCCTGGGGGGGTCAAGAGATGGGAACTAGAGGCTTCCTTTTTGAAAAGACATTGGAGAAGACACAGCATGGCTCAGTCCTAGCTCTTCCAAGAACAAAAACCAGCAGATCTTACAACCACAGAACCACAGAATCAGTTTGGTAAGAAGGGACCTTTAAAGATCATCCAGTTGCCACAAGCAGGAACATTTTTCACCAGACCATGTTTCTCAAAATCCCATCCAACCTGGCTGTGGACACTTGAGTGGTAGGGCTTCCACAACTTCTCTGGGCAATCTGTTCCAGTGTCTCACCATCCTCATAGTAAATTTCTTCCTTTTATTTAACCTAAATCTACCTTTTTAGTTAAAATTGATTGCCCTTTGTTCCATCGTTATAGGCCTTGGTAAAATGTCTCTCTCCTTCTTTCTTATAAAATTCCCTTTAAGTACAGAAAGGCTGCATTAAGATCTCCCTAGAACTTTCTCCAGGATGAACAGACATGACTCTCTCAGCCTTTCTCCATCAGAGTGTTCCAGCTTTCTGATCAACTTTTGGCTCTCCTGTGGGCCTTCTCCAAGAGAACTGTTTTGTGCTAGGGGTTCCAGAGCTGAATGTTGTACTCCAGGTGGGGTTTCACAGGAGCAGAGTAAAGCGGGACAATCCCCTCCCCTGACCTGCTGGTCACACTTCTGATGCAGCCTGGTTGGCTTTATGGGCTGCAGGTGCAGCTGGGTCACATCCAATTGTTCACCCACCAGTACTCCCAAGTCCCTCTCCTCCAGGCTGCTCTGGATCCATTCATCCCCAGCCTATACTGGTATTGAGGACTGCCCCAACCCAGATGTAGAATCTTGCACTTGGCCCTATTGACTTTCATGAGGTTCACATGGTCCCATTCCTCCTCTGTATGGCATCCCTACCCCTACTGAATCCAGGACACCTCTCAGGTTGGTGTCCTCTGCAGAATTCCTGAGTGGGACTCAGTCTCACTGTCTGTGTCATTATTGAAGATACTGAGCAGTACTGGTCCCAGTGCAGGATCCCGAGGGACACCACTTGTTGACGATCCCCATTTGGATGCTGAGCCATTAACTGTAATTGGATCCCATCCACCCTCCTATTTATTCATCAAATAGTCCATCAATCAAATCCATCTCTCTCCAGATTAGAGGTAAGAATGTTGTGTAGGACCATGCCAAAGTCAATACAGAAGTCCAGGTAGCTGACAGGTAGCTTACTTTCCATTAGGTTGGAGTGGTTCATCCTGCACTGCTTTTCCAAGGATATCAGGGGACATACCTGCAATTTCAGTTTGTGCCTGGTGGGATCTCCCTTGCTTGGAGGCTGGCTGGACCTCTTTCCTGCAGCTGAGGAATGAGGATCCAGCCCACAGCAGGGAAGGAGTTAAGTGCTTGACCAGCTGCTGTCTGTGAGGCACTGAATTCCTTCCCCGTGCAGTCCAGCAGCCAGTGTCAGGACAGATATATTTAGAAAGCTGATAAAGGTTTAGTGCCAACAGTTGTCCTGCCCCTCGATGAAGAAGCTGTAGAGAGAGTGAGAGGGGGGCAGCTGATTTCTTTCCCCACAGTACTGTTCCTTGCTGTCTTCAGTGGACTCCTTTGCTGTGCCTCCAGCAGAGACCCCCAGTGGAGCCATCAGGCACAGGGGGTAAGTTCCCTTTCCTTGCTCACCCTTCTCCCTGCTCACTGCCCTGTGAGTGACCATGCGGCCGCGATCCTCCGGCCTGAGCCTGGCTGCCGGGCCCTGGGGAGCTGCCGCTGGCTCTTGTGGCACTGAGGCAAAAGTCCCTCTGCCTGGCCAGGGGTGTTGGCTGCTGTGTTTCCATGCTCCTAGCTGAGCTATGGTGCCCTCACTTTCCCACACCCAGAGTGAGAACAGCAACCTCCACACAAAGGATTACAAGGACGAAGTCCCAAGCCTTCAAGCTCCTTTGGCCTTAAGCTTTAGGAACATTTCATTTTGGGGACATGAGGTCTCATATTTCTTGCCCCTGAGCCTCCTTCCAGCCTGGCTCTGGCTGTGTATGGCTCCTTCCAGCCACCATGCACGGTCAGGGGAGTATAGAGTTTCTGCCCTGCCAGCCCTTCCTTCCAGCACCCTTACTCACAGGCAGAAGAGCATTGGCGCTCGCTGGGCAGCAGCCAGGAGCTGCATGAGGCCCAGGGAATGGCAGGTGCCCTGCTGGAGGAGCCAGCGCAGCCCTTGTGGGAAGGGCTCCTCACAGGAGCAAAGTGTGGGAGGCCCTTCTGCTGTAGCCCCTGCCACTTGTGCCCCAGAGCCAGGGAATGGCCTGCTGTGCAGCCCTGTGTAATGGCTCTCCCTCCTGCCCTGCTCCTTGCAGCAGACCCCCAGCAGCCGCCATGGCCAGCGGCAGAGATGCGGACAGCGAGCCGGCGCTGCCTGAGGAGGAGGAGGAGAAGGAGGGCCCGGACGTGAAGGCCGTGCAGGCCCATTACCTGCGCAGCCCCTCGCCCAGCCGGTGAGTCCACAGGCACTGCCACGGCCTCCTGGCAGCATGTGGGAGATGCTGCCCTTCCTGCTTTCCCTCCCTCTGCTCCACACTTGGGCCAAGCTGAGCCCGGGGATTCCCTGCTCTCCCTGAGGTGGGGTCAGTGTGCCAGCTCTGACAGAGCCTGCACAGACAGGACTCCTCCACTAATTAGTCTTCCCTGCTGGGAGAGTGCACAGCAGGGATAAACTGCAGGAAGGATTACTATGGGCTGCTGTTGTCCCTCTTCCCTGTATCACCTTCTCACACCCCTATGCTGAAACTTCTGATCCAATTTCAACTCTTTGCAAATTTGGCTTCATCTTTATGTCCGTTGTAAGGACTTGTGGATTTATTGGATGTTGATATTAGTCTTTGTCAGCCTCAGAAAGACCAAGGGTCTTGGGATTTGGGTTTGATTCAGAACCAACTTTAGCTACAGGCTTCAGGCACTGAACATGAGGCTGTCACAGCACAAGCAGAAATTGAGTTACCTCAAGCAAAACAAGCATGATTAGATGTGTTTTCTCCTAATACAAGGAAAAATACACCCCTTTGCTCTCTTTTCCTAAAGCAAAATGCTCTGCAGGGCTTTCTGTACCCTTTGAGATGCTTGAACTGAAAGCAAGGAGTAGGGATAGAGTTTGAAGAGAACCTTCCCCAGTGTCCCTCAAAAAGTAGGAGGTTATGAAATGTTTCCTGGTAACTGTGGGACACTGCAGAAAAACTGAGTACTTACTTCATTTAACCACGTGTATTTCAAAATTGTTTAGGAAGATCACTGAGCTCACATAAAATAAAATTATGTATTGATGTCTCTTCTACTGCTCATCAGTCACTCAAAATGAACAGAAACATCTGTTCCCTTCCCTTCCCTTCCCTTCCCTTCCCTTCTCCTCCCTTTTTTTCTTGCTGTCAATGGTAAAACACAGTGATGAAAATGGCAAGATCCTTCCCAGCCAGAAGAGGGTCCCTGAAAGACCCAGGTTTGGGCAGTTCTGTGTTTCACAGATGCTCAGGGCAGCTACAAGTGAAACATGTTGAGGCTGTGGTGGCAGATTATTACCAACTGTTGTTACCTTTTTACTGAGCTTGGAGGCGACCTTTACAGCAAAAGGAATCGAAGGCAGGGCATAGCTGCAAATTTGTGTCAGCTCCTGTAAATGAGACTGAGACTCCCCTTGCTCATCTCATAAACTCCTTTGAAGAACTAGAAAAGGATTACTTTCAGTCACGGTTGACAAGTGCTGGAACTCAACTAAATGACCTGGATGAGCCTGTTAAGTGGTTTCCGATAGCTGTGCCCTCTGTTTTGATTCTGGAGCCTGAAAGCAGTTCAGCTCTCCAGACACTGCTGCACCCTGACTGCATATTAATCACCCTCCCTCTCCTGCTTGAATTAAACAAAAACAAACAGTGTATTGCAAGTCTGCAAGCCTTGCACTGCCAGAGAGCTTCTGTGATGGCAGCAAACTTGTCCTAGTGATTTGTACCATCTATTTGGAAGGAAGTGTATAAGGTGTAGGTCAGGTAAAAAGCTCTAAAATACTTTGTAGAGATGGTCGAAGAGACTGAATTTTCTTGGACTGTATAGGTGGACCCAGAGGGAAATGTACTTGTTTTTAAGGTTGTGGCCTTTTTTGCTTAACAAAAACTTATTACACTATGTCAAATAACTCACTTCAAAGGTGTTTGTGGGTGTCATAGTGGTTTCTGACCCACATTTACACAACACTGAGAGAGTGGAGAGACTGACCACAGGTTCATGCTCTGAAGTGCCCAAGGTACAAAGTACTGAGGGAGAGATTCACAGGCTTCAGTCTTAATGCTTGCACTGCAGCTTGTGGTAACTCAGAGAATGCTTGCTGGCAATTAACCGGCAGAAAGAAAACCCAACAGTTTTCTAGTGCAATCTGTTTTGAATTATTTAATAAATTCGAGTTAGGACCATGTTTATGTCTGTCTGTCTGTGTGAGGGTTAATTGTGAGACTATTTCTTGTGATCCATCCCCATCCTGGTCCCAAACCAGACACTGACTTTCTCTATCCATAAACTACCCATAACTTCCTCCACCAGGCAATTTGATTGCACTCCGAGCCCACTGCAGCTTCTCCCCATGGGACCTGTCTACATCCTGCAAACACTGGATGCCAAGGCATCTTTGAAGCCTGTAGTGCCATGCTAGAGATTGGGGTGGGCATGAGATGTGGGAGAAGAGCTGCAACTTCCCTTCTACAATCACAGAATCCTCCCTGCTCCAGTTCCCTGCTGTTCCTCTCTGGAATGGGTGAAGAGGGCTAAAGTCCTGGGGATGGGACCCCAGTGGAGGGCATTTGCCTAACGGGCAGTGTGGTTGGTTGGCAGGTGTTCAGTGATATCAGACACTGATACAGAGAGCATCTACATGGAGCCAATCCATCTGTCATCTGCTGTGGCTGCCAAACAAATCATCAGTGAAGGTAAGAGAACTATCTAAGTTACAAGTTGCATGCAAGTTGCAGTTGTTTTGCTTTTCTTATCTACAGATCCTAAATGATAAAAAAGCCCTTATGCGAAAACTCTATCTGAAGCAGAGAAAGAAATAACTTACAGAAAGGTTTGGTGACTTCCTTTGAAGTTGTCCAGTGAATCTGTGGCAGAATTGTGTACTGCAGGGGTAAAAGTTTGAGTGCTGGCTGCTTGCTGCATCAAGCTAAATTAGAGTAGAATGGAACAGAGCAGAACAAAATCAGTTTAAAGGACATACATGATCATCTAAGTCCAACTATCAGAGCTGACCAAAAGTTAAATCATATTATTAAGGCACTATCCAATACCTCTTAAACACTGTCAGGGATGGGGCATTAACCATCTCCCTAGGAAGCCTGTTCCAGTGTTTGACCACCCTCTCAGAGAAAAAGTGCTTCTCAATAGCCAGTCTGAATCTCTCCAGCTCAGCTTTGAAGCATTCCCACATGTCTGATCACTGGATACCAGGGAGAAGAGCTCAGCAGCTTCCTCTCCACTTCCCCCCTTCAGGAAGGCGTAGAAGCTGCGTTCTTCTGGGCCTGGAGTAAGGGTGCCCTTAACTCCCAGGCCTTGGGCCAGAGTGGGACCAAGAGGACAGTGCAATGTGCTCTTCTCATTGCTAATTACCCTGAGGCACTTCTAGGTGAGCAGGTACCTGCCCACATTGCAGACAGAACAGGGTGATGTTTCTAGGGAAAAAAAGCCACAAGGCTTGTCTCAGGCACAAGTAATGATAGCTCCTACATTTGCATTGTTTTTGTGTACTTTTAATTACAATGTCAGTTTATTCCAGAGCTGAAGACCAAGGACGTCAGGGTAGACTCGGTGTGTCCCAGGATGTTGGAGTCTGCGCAGCAGCTGATGGTGGAAGACCTGTACAACCGAGTTAAGGAAAAGATTGATGACACCAGCTTGTTTAACACGCCGTGTGTGATGGACTTGCAGAGGGCACTTGTGAAGGACAGGCTGGAGACCCCCAGGGACGCTGTGGATGAAGTCTGGCCTAATGTCTTCATAGCAGAAAAGTGAGTGTCGGCTTTTGTCATCAAGCTGCACAAGATTCCCAGTAAAGGGTCAAATGGAACCATTGAAGGCATAACATGTATTACATGCATCTAATACCTTCCATCCCTAGAGAGCCCTAAAGTGTTTTTCAGACTGTGCTCACAGAAATCTCTATGCACTAGAAAGTAAATACTTCTGGAATAGAATCAGCTTAGATGCTTCAACACTTTAAGAGAGGAAAAGATAAATAAGCCCAAATTCCACCACTCTGATTGGAAGTTGGCCCTAAAATTTGAACTAAAATCTTTGTTATGTAAAAGGGAGTTTAAAAGGTAATGTTAAAGCAAATGTCAAGTAAACATGATTAGGTCTCCTGTACCATAGTTCAGCTGTCTGAGATACCTGTGTAAGTGACCAGACAGAATTAGAAGGACATATACAGTGAAGCATCAATTATGGAGTGATAAAAATTGATAAGTAAGTACATGACCTGAACCTAGGATGGCAGTATGAGTTTCAAATCAAGCTGGAGTGGAAACAGAGCACATGGCTCTGCAGATGAAGGCAGACTTATTTTCTTTTCCCAGTGAGTATTGGAAAGAAATACCTGTAGAACTCTCAAAGGACATTAAGGTCTGAGTGGTGCCTCATGCTGAAAGAACATGGACTGGGAGTTATGTAGACCTTGTAGCATACAGCTTTTTTCCAACCTAAAATAGGAGCACTGATATCTAACGTGTTTTTTTCCCTTTTCTGCAGAAGCGTTGCAGTGAACAAAAGCCGTTTGAAGAGACTGGGCATCACCCATGTCCTGAATGCAGCTCATGGAACAGGTGTCTACACAGGTCCAAGCTTCTACAATGGTCTCAATATCCAGTACATGGGCATTGAAGTGGATGATTTTCCAGATATGGATATCTCCAAACACTTCCGCCCAGCTGCAGAGTTCCTTGACGAAGCCCTGCTGACTTACAGAGGTAAGAGAAGATTGAAGTGGTTCCAGGTTGTGCTTGGGAATTAACAGGGAGAAACCTTACTCTGATAAACAGCTGATATGCCACATTTGTAATGGGGTAGAAGGCAGAGCCTTTGCCCTCTGCATGCAGCTACAGTGAACACCTCCTGCCCGTTTCTGCCCGGTCTCACTGGAAACAGGAGGGAGCAAACTGGTAAGGGGAGGCAGCTCTCGGCCCCATGGCTTCAGGTTCAAAGTGGCTGCAAGTCAGCTCCTGCAGCTGCTTTGAAAGAACCTGACTATAGTAAAGAGTAGAATCCCTGCTCTAATACATTTTTAAAAAATATTGATACCCTATAATACTATATATAGAGAGAGATAGATATATTCCTGTACCCTGCACATTTCAGTTTCGCCGTGATGCAAGAAACCAGGCTGATTTACTAGAACAATCCAAGTGGCTGAGTTGAACCTCTGGGTGTCTACATCCAAGCTGCTGTCAGATTTGCTGGACTTCAATTCCATGGCAACTGTTATTCTGTGCACACTGACCATTTTGTTGCAAATTTGGTGGACAGTTAGAAATACCTTTTTGCAGTTCAGTATTGAAAGAAACACCGTGATCTGTGGTATCACTGATATTCTTCATATAAATTGTCAATTAATCTAATTTCTGTAAAGAAGCAACAGATTGCCTCCTAGCAGTAGTGACAGTAAGAAAAGTGTGAAGTTTTGTTCATATACAAGGAACGTTGAGCCAGTTTTAATAGCTCAACAATACTAGGAGGATGCACCAAGGCAGAGGAGCCTTGGAAGAAATGAAAGGAGGGAGATCTCCCCCTCTTGGTGAGATGTTAGATTGGCTTTGCTGGCTAGTTAAACACTTGGAAGGCAACCAAGACTTTTAAAGCTAAGAAAGGTGTAAAAGAGATTTCAGGATTGTAGGAAGAGGTTCATTAGGTAAACCTCTTGTGGTAACATAGCAGCAGTCAGAAAGGTGGTGCTTAAATTGGCTTCATTAAGTTTCAGTGCAAACAGATTGATTAAACTGGAGTTTATCATACATTTAGAAACACTAATTTCAGTTGTTTGCAAGCTAGCATTTACACTCTCTTCCTATTTACAAGCTTTTCTTTAGCTATAATTTGCCACACAAGTAACTTAAACCCCAAACAATTTGTCTGTGCCAAAGCTAGGTTTTCTGCAAGAGATAGTAAATGCTATAAAATAAAGCAGATCCTCGGTTTTGATTCTTGCTCATACAGTTACTGGTGCAGGACAGTGGGTCCCAGTAGTTTGAAGCAGCTGGATCAGTTTTTCCAAATCAAAATTAGCTCTTTTCTGATAGTTGCTTGGTTCTGCTCTTGTAAGATATAATAGGACTTTGGCCTCCAGCAAGTGTTCAGTGTAATTGTTTGGGGGTACCTTGCAAAACTGATTGAGAGTCTGGCAAAAATACAATTAAATTAATATAAAATCGTTGTTCAAGTCCTGTAATATCCCTTAGAGAAAAATAACTTACTTGCTTATCCTCCCAGTACCTTCCTGAAGGCTAATGCTAATATCTCACTTTTTACATATTGAGAAAAAAGCACGGAAAGCTTAAATGTCTGGCCCTATGTCAGCCAGCAAGTCAAGAATGTCTCACTTGCCTTTCTAATACCTCTTATAAACTTTTTGGCTATTTGAGCAAGTGAAGTGTGTAGACAAAAATACAAATACTGTTTAGATTATTTGGATATGTGCCTGCCCACAGTTTTTGAAACAAATGTGTTTTTTATTTGAATATATCCAGATTTTTATTAATGTAAATCTAGCAAATATTTAATATTGGTTTCAGTCACTGAAACATATAATCTGTGTAGTTTTTAACACTATTCAGAGAATGCTTTTGTGCTACATACCAGAACATCCTGTCTGTTGCTGGAAATAGCTGATTCCTTTCTTATTCACCATCTGTAGGCAGAATCCTTGTCAGCAGTGAGATGGGGATCAGCCGCTCAGCTGTGCTGGTGGCTGCCTACCTGATGATCTACCACCACATGACTGTTCTGGAGGCTCTGATGACCCTGAGGAAGAAACGTGCCATCTACCCCAACGACGGCTTCCTGAAGCAGCTGCGGGAGCTCAATGAGCAGCTGTTGGAGGAGCGAGAGCTGGAGCGTTCTGGAGATGAGGACATAACTCCGAGCCAAAGTCCTCTTGCCTACCCAGGGACTTCTTCACGGCTGTCTGGAGCTGGGGACTCAGGGAGCATCAAGGGAGCCAAAGCCCACTCCATCACAGTAGAAGAAGAGGATACCAGCAGCTTTTTGGGTAGTTTTATGAGCTCTTCATCAGTGGAAAAAACTAGTTGGGTTTCCAAACATTCCACCCTGATCACTGAGGAGGAAGAGGAACAATTGTATGAGGAATGGAGGAGGAAACAAGGCCTATCTGCAAAGGAAGCAGGAGCTCACCATGAAGGAACATCTTCAAAGCATCTGGATCAGGAAGAGGAACAATCTGATGAGGATGTGGAACGGAGGATCCATGACTGGCAGCGCAGGAATGAGAAATACCAGATGGCAGGTGCAGCCAGGGAGGAGGATGGTGAATGCAGCATGGGAGGAAGACCTTACCCATCAGGCGAGTTCAGTGATGTTGAGAGTGTGAGCAGTTTTGAGATCCGAACCCTAAAAAAACAGCTGGAAGCCAGTAGCTTCAGCAGGATGAGGAGGAGCCGCACAGGCTCTATGTCTTCTGAGAGCACTTGGGACATGTGGAATGAGAGGCTTCTGGAGATTGAGAAAGAAGCTGCTCAGAGGTATCATTCTAGGAATAAAACTTGTGGGGAGAGACAATCCCCAGAAACAGGAAGAAAGGAGAGGGATGTGGATGAAGAGAGTGTGTTTTCAGACTCCTCCTGTAGCTCCTTCTACAATTTCTGCCAAAAGAACAAGGACAAGTTGACTCCTCTAGAAAGGTGGAAGGTCAAGAGGATCCAGTTTGGCTTTCACAAGAAGGATTTAGAACCATCATCTGCACCATCTCCAGCAGAAGATGGCAGCCAGGCAGGTCAGGAGGAAACAGAAGGGAAGAGTTTGTCAGATATTGATCTGACTGCGTACCAGGCTTGGAAAATGAAGCGGCAGAAGAAGGTGGGCAGTGAAAGCAGCAAGGAGGAATTTGTGGAATTTGCCAAAACTGAGGATTCTGCTTCAGCTAAAAAGAAGCAGAGGCGTGTAGAGCTCCTTGAACGTTCAAAGAAAATTTTAGAAGAAAGCCAGTCCATGTGCAGCTGGGAGACAGAGAGTACAATGAGTGGGAGTATTCCCCTGTCAGCTTTCTGGTCTTCAGCGCCTTCTGCAAGTGGTGCTGACGATGCAGCTTCTGCCCTGAGCATGCAGACAAATCATTCATCTTTGTCACAGGCCAGGAGTTGTACAGGACCAGTGCAGCTGCAGATGCCAAATATACCCCTTCCCAACCTCCCAGTTGGCCCAGGTGACACAATATCCATGGCAAGCATTCAGAACTGGATTGCTAACGTGGTCAGTGAAACCATTGCCCAAAAGCAAAATGAGATCCTGATGCTGTCCCGTCCATCGTCCGCCATGGCCTCGCTGTCAGGAGACCTTGGCAGGCGTGCAGATGATGACAAAGTTTCTCTTCTCAGTGCTCAGAGTGGCTCATCCCTCGCTGCCTCTCAGCTCCACCAGCAGGACCTGCGCAGGGCTGAGTCTCAGTCTGTGCTGTCTTGCAACACCTCTGTGAGTGCAAGGACAGAAGGGACTACTTCAAACATGAAGACAACCCAGACAAGCAAACCACTGTACAGCCTCTTTGCTGATGATGTTGACCTAAAGAAACTCAGGAGGAAGGAGAAGGAGATGCAAATGGAAATGAGAGAAAAAATGTCAGACTATCAAATTGAAAAGGTGATCAGCGACAATAAACGCAGCACTTTATTTAAAAAAAAGGTGACCAAAGCAGAGGAAAATGAAACAGAAAATGACAGAGAGAGTACAACAAACAGCTGCAGGCGTCCCTTGCAAGCAGACTTTGACAGAACTGATGCAGACTTTGATCTGTCCAGTCAACCTGCAACCTCAGGTGCACCGAAGTCAGAGATAGATACTGATATTACCAAGTGGCTCAATGGCCTGAAAGCAGAAAGAGAACCACCGTCATATTATGATCAGACTGAGAAAGCTAGAGAGAAATATAGCAGATCATCCAAAGTTAGACAGATGGATTCTGAGACATCCAGTTACAGATTCTGCAGATCCCAAAGAAAAGAGCTAGATAGCTGTTCTTCCTACGAGTCAACGGGAGATTCACTGAGAACCATGTCAAGATTTTCCTCTGCTTCTGCAAAAGAGGACAAAAAGATGTACAAGTTCACAAGGTCCAGGGTCAGTGAGACAAGTTCCAGAGGAAACAGCCCAGAGCTGCATGTTTTCAGCCGGTCACCTGAACCACCCTTTGACTCTGAAGCCCCGGAACAATCTACACAGAGCCGAGTTAGAGCTCATCATGTGGAGGCATGTGAAGAGGAGGCCAGGTCAGATGTGTCAGAATGTGGAGCAAAAAGAAAGTTCACCCAGAGCTTTTCAAAGTCTGAAGAGGATGGAAAGAAGGAGGCAAAAGTGGAGCAAAGTGAAGAAAGGTTTGCATCTCGGCAGGTCTCTCGGTACAGGCGAAGCATGCGTAAAGAAGAGGAAGAAATGGATGATGATGCCATTATTGCTGCTTGGAGAAGCCGACTAGAAGAAACTACAGCAAAGCTCCAGCGGAGAAGGGAAGAGTGACCAAGATCAGACTACAGGAACACAAGCAGAGCCACAGAGTCCCTGAATCACTCACTCATCATTATATTTTTGATAATCCTTTGTGGTTTGTAGGGCATTTCCTGCAGATAGTTCTCTTCTTAATCAAAAGCGATGAAGGGAAGAGGTCAAGTTCTGCAAGTGTTTGTGGCTTGTCAGAAAGAAGATGCTGGTATTAAATGATCAATGTAGGTAGAAACACAATGTTAGAAGCCATTAGGAGCCAGACAATGTTTCAGCAGCAAAAGCAGGTAACGGTGACACCTCAAGTCAAAAGACCAATCACATCCCACTTTGGTTATTTCAATTTCCTAGTGTTGTTAAAGACTGGACATGTTTTTTCTAGGATCTTTTTGATCATAAATGGAAGAAGCCAAAAGCCTTTTCCAGGAACTTAAAGAATGTTTTTCTCTTAATCAGTTTTACTTTATATGACTGAGAAGATATTACCAGGTAGGCTCCGTTTTCTGCACCAGCCTTAAAAATGTCTAGAGAAATAAGACAGTTCAGGGGAACATATGTTCTGTTTTACTTTACTAAGCAGCAGGAGTGGAATACTAGAAAAAAGAAGATGCCTCCTGTTTACAAGTTCAATGCAGTAATGAATGTATTCATTGTTTTCTATTAGATGGAGTAATCTCTGCTCCAGTATGGTTGGTTCCTGCTAATAACTTCAGGTCAACAAAGGAAAAATGCAGTAATATTAACAGCCATCCAAAAATCATTTTTTGATGTAGTTAAAGAGATAGCTAGGATTAGTGTTAGTGCAGGCTGGGTTTCTGAGTATTGACTTCACTTTGGTTTATGTATGCAGCTCAGCTAAGTTGGTGCTTTTGTGTTATAGTCAGATTAATTTTCAACATGATCGCCTTGAAAGAAAAGAGCAATGCACAAAATGACCTCATAATAAAATTGCTTGATTAGACCATGGGTGTAAGGCATCATGCACCTAAGGAGAAATTGTGTGTCTGTGAAGGTGGCACCTGGAAGCTTGTTTTTAGGAAGCAGTGGTAGGTTCAAATGGCTCCTTACAGTTAAAGTGTTCTTTGTATCCTGAGCTACAGAGGAAGAAGCCCAGCCTCCATGGTAACTCCATGTTAAGAGTCTCGGGTCTTTCCATGCCTTGCAGAGCCTTGTGAGCTTGTGTGACACAACCCACCACCTTGCCACAGCATCACTTGTGTGTCTTTCCACACCACAGCACCCAACCCTCACCCGTCAACACCCTCCACCTCTCTCTTATAAGCACATAGGCCGATTTTTACTGACTTTGACTCTGGAATTATCAGTTTCCCTCTTCTGTACAGACTGTATTTTGAACCAACAAAGCCCTCTGGCAGAGCTGAATCTAAAACGACAATGGAGGGATGATGCAGAAGCACTCTCCCACAGGAAGTTTGTCTTTTTCTTGTAATCTCTTCTCCCTCCCACTGTGATGCTTAGAGCTCACCATTACCATTATGCTAGTACCTTTCCCTATTTTAATTGTGTAATACAGTCAGCAAGCTCCACAGGGCAAGGGCCTGCTCTTTGTCCCTGTCTGTATGGTGCTATACACATCAGCAATGCTATCTAAATAATGGTTACTGATAACAAAATGCAGCTGGCAATTTTCCTAAACTTAGAATCATTTCTCTCAACTATAACTCACTGATCAGACATTATCCCTGCTTCTCTGAAGATAAAGATGATTCTTTCTGACAGCCAGGACTGGGGTAAATGATAGCTACTTATTGTCAGGTGAATGGAGTCTCACAATCAGGTGATTAACCAGTAACAAAGGTAGAAAAATTACTTGTGTGGGTTGTTTTGGGGTTTTGGGTTTTTTAGTAAACTCAGATTACGTTTCTGAAATACATAAGGAACATGTTCGTGTTAATGTTTCAGGCATGCAGAGATGCTCTAAGGTTTATAATGCTCTTCTACTATAAAATAATATATAATACAATGCATCCCTTGTTTCTGCATATTTCTGTGAGTTGTTATTTCTTAAAGTAGAGAAATTCCAGGCTTTGAGTCACATTCTGAGAATTTATATTGAATTTCTGCAGTGTGTGTTAGGATAGGCATTTTCCTCTTTCCTTCATCCCTGGTAAGGTTGCTGCACAGAAAACAGCTCTGCATAGACATATTTGGAGCTTGCTTTAATTTCATCCTAGAAAAGGTCTTAAGTTTTGATGGATCAAAGTGGAAGTGTGCAATACCTTCTGGCACTGAATTTACTTTTTTATCAAAGGCTGATTCCCTCTGAAAAATCCCTCTCCTTCTCCGTGCCTGGATGTTCCCAGCAGACAAGCCTGTCCTCTGCAGTACTGTAGGGGGCATCTCGCGCTGTAAAAGACGAGCAGTAGATGATGTAGTAATTGGTTTCATTTTGCACTGTACAGCACAGCCTTTGTTTGGGCAGCATTTTGATTTAAACACTAATCTAGGTCTGCTGCACAAATAAATTATTCAAGACCGAGGGGCAGAATATGGTTCTGTAACAAGTCTGAGCCAGACCATCCTGATAGCGAGTTTTGACCCTTGTGAGAAAGGGTTAAGTGGGTTCTGCTGACTCATTGAGGTAGGTGGCTTATTAGTTCACTTGTGTAAAAGAGAGATAAAAATGGTTTGCTGTGGAAAGGCCATCTAAGATGCTGGCTGAGCAGCCATGAGGGAGAAGCCTTAGAAATAGCTGAACTTTATTTTCTTATTGCTTATATCCTTGTTAATAAAGCCAAACCCCCAAAGCAATAAGGGGGTGGGGATCATTTTGGACTCCATGCAGTATATGGCCAGTGCTTGAAAGCAAGATGGGAAAGGCTCCAGCTCACAGGTATAAATTACATGAAACAGTGACATAAAGACCTTGCATGGTGAAAATATTAAAGCATTCAGTCATAAGACCAATAACCAGGAGAGACAGAAATGGAGGGGTTGAAGGCAGGCTAGAAAGTCAGGTTTTAAGATGAGAATTTAGAAGGAGATAAGGAATTGCTGAAAGGGGAGAGGTCTGCACAGATTGTTTCAGGTGACCAGAGCTGCAGAGTGAATGGTTTTTCAGCAATGACACCAGTCTGACAGTAGATTAAAAGAGTAAATAAGTACCCAAATTTATCTAAGAAGGATTTTTCAGCAAAGATGTGCTGGGACTGTTATTTTTTCTCCCTCTCAGTTTGCTGCTATATGCAGGAGGGGGTTTTTTGGCATTGTATAGTGGAAGGTGAAAGTGCAAGGAGCATCCATACGGTCAGTTAAGAATATAAACACAAGAACATAAGAAAGGCTGTATGGGGTCAGACCAAAGGTCCATCTGGCTCAATATCCTGTCTCTGATAGAGAACAGCAGCGAATACCTAGGGAAGAATATATACAGTGATAAAAGTGTTATTTCCCCAGCATGATCTTCCAGCTTCTAATCATTTGCAACTCAAGGACTTCCTAAGCCAGGTCTGATATTTTTGTATTTAATAGCCCTTAATAGATTTCCCTTCTATGGAAGTGCCTAGTAATTTTTGAGTTATAACCACTATAGCCTCGTATCCGCTAGCCTCTGTGATCTCTTGTAGCAAGAAGTCCCACAAGTTACTGTACACAAAATACTAAGCCATCTTCTTTCTGCCTGTTCTGAACCTTCTGCCCACTAGCCTTCAATGCCAATGAAGAATGTCTGTTTAGTATCTACATGTCCCATGAGATTTTACCCCCGCTTCTGTCATTCTGTCCCATCTTTAGTTCTGGTTTTCCGCCTGAGTTACTTATTCCTCATATAGGGGCTCTTCATTATCCTGGCCATTCTTCTCTGAACCCTTTCTAGCTCTGCTTTGTCATGTTTGAGATGAGGGACCAAATCCTCACACAGTATCCAGGGTGCAGATGTGGCAGGGGTTTATCCTATGGCATATTGACCTTTTATCCCCTCTTTTCTGTTCCTTCCCTATTGACTCCTAACAGTCTGCATATTTTTTTGGCTGTTGCCGAGCACCAGAGTGATGTTTTCTTAGAACTGTTTATTATATACAGAAAATCTTGTTGAATGGCAGTGGTCAGCTCTGAGATCATAATTTTATATTTTAAGTTTTCTTATTTGTAATTCTTTACCTTTATGAGCCTTGAATTTCATCTGCCATCTTAGTTCTCAGTCTGTCTGTCGCATTAAGTCCTGGATTTTCCCACAGTTGTCCTCCCATTTCTACTACTGTTTCCTTAATGTCCTTTGAACGAGGTAGAAGCACATAGGATGTGGGAAGCAAAGAAGTTAAGGAGGGATAGATGAGAGAGAAACCCATTTGATATTGGTCTGCTTGAAGTAAGAAATAAGAAAGTGATGAAAGTCAGAGAGCTAGGAGATACGTGTTCAAAAAGAGATCTGAAGACAATAGGCAAATTAAGAAAGGGACCTACAGTGGTCAGAGACAGGAAGATATGAATGTAAGCCAAAGAAGCTAATGCAAAATATTAATATGTTTAGATGTATCAAAGTTTGGGAAAAGGTTAGGAGGCAACATCTGTGGGAAGAAAGGAGATTTGAAGAAGTTACAGGTCTGTGAGAAATCTGAAGGCAACTAGGAGAAATGGAAAGAGTGAGAGACATTAGTGGGACACTGATGAATAAAATGACATTGGTGCTGGATTGGGAATTCAATGTGGTACAAGTCTGAAGGAAATGGAAATGTACCAGAAATACATGTTATTCCTACTGTAAGAGCTGAGTTTTGCATTGTAATACTGATAGCTGTGGGGCCATGGCCCATTTCCCCCATCTAGGAATTTCAGGACAATGTGATTTACTGCATGCAGCACTAGCTTAGACTGGATAATTTTAAAAGGAGTTTAGCACCATTTCCTTCCTTTACAGCTCCTTGAGAAATGCTTACGCATTAGCTGTGGTGGAGACTAGGTGAATTATGAGACAAAAAGTTTTATTTGGGGAGGTTATGTTGCATTGCCTGCCTTTCCTTAAAGGGTGTAGCTGGAATACATTCAATACAGACATTATAATGTGAAAACACAATATCCATGACCTGCCTAAATTTATAGACAAAGCAACAAAGGTACTGAAAGCATGTGATTAATATAGTCTAGGGCTTGGAAACAGACGCAGCATACTCACGTAATCCAGCAAAATCTCTTTGAGAGCTACCTACCTATTCTCTGGAATTTCACTTGTCATGTAGAAAAATGAAAGTGGGTCAAATCTCTGGCTGTTCTAATTGTGGAGAAAACTTCCAGAATGGGAAGAATGTGTAACAAATAAACTGTTCTCTAGAGAGGTGAGAGCATAGGTCTAAATGGTCTGTGAATTGCCCCAGTCATTTCAGCAAGGTTCTAACTTATTTGGCCAGAAGTAATAATTTAAATGCCAATAATATTTGTCACCCTGTACTTCATGTAATAAATTGAGAAAGGTTCAAAGTGCATGTATTTAGGTTGTGTATTGCCAATACCAGCATAATCTGCTTGAATGAACACCCTGTCATTGTGGTTGGTTTTGTTGTTTTCTGGTTTGCTGTTTTTTTTTTTTTTTCTTAGGCTGCCTTTTGTTCTTTGGTACATTTCAACATATTCAGGAGCTGATTTCATGTTGTTTCTCTCTAACCTCCTCTTAAAACCATTCATTGGTGTTTTCCTGTGACCGCTGTTCCTCTGCCACAGGGTGCACACACACACAAAAACACACACAGATATAAAGGGAAAACATTATTTGTGACTTATAAAAGCAGGCAACAATATGAATTCAGTTCTTCCCAGGACTATCCAAGTGTGGTGATGTGAAAACTGTCTTAGAGAGCAGAAGAAGGGACATCCTGCTTGTGCTTTGAACCTTCCCCTCTGGATTGCATTTCATTTTTATTTGCATGTATCTTTAAAACAGACAATTTTAATTCTTATACAAGAGCATAACTGCTTCCACATCTGATTCATATCTGCAGGTAGACTGATTAACTTAAGACATGTGTACCCAGGAAGACACAAATGTGTGTAATAGAAAACTAGCTTCGTTGTTAACTATGGAAAGAACAATGTCTCTACATAATCAAACAATCAATCAATCAATCAATCACTTATTTCTTTCCAGTGCACCCTTCATGCCAACATGCCTGAATGCTTTATGGTCATTAAATTAAATCAAAGAACACACCACAGAATGGACAAGGCCAGATCAATAAATCTTGAAACCTGATTCAAACTTACCAAGGACTCTGCACAAGTAACCATGACAGGAAGGATGACTCCAGTCAGGAGGGCATGTGTGTGGGCATAAAAGTGAAACAAGACTTAGGTGATTGATACTAATTAGAAGACAGAAAAATTTAAAGGAACTGTAATTTTTATAGCATCACCCAACTGCCAACATCTCAACCTGCAGCTTAGCGTCTTAAGAGTATTTTCGGATTTATGAGCGATATAAGAAAATAACAATGGTGGCAAGAACTTTCTGCAACTTTTTACAGCTGTACAACTTTTTACAGCTTCAGGGTACCTCTTGCCTAATTTTAAAGGTTTGCCTATTTGTGATCTCTCCATTTGATTATTGCAGGGCACCATATTAAAGAAAGATGCAGTAAACTCCAGCTGGCAGTAACCATAGTATGACTGCTCTGTCTTCATGGACCATCCCAGCAATTTGATCTTTGCAATGACTCCATGCTGAACTCAGATCCAGTCAGAAGTCATCCATTAGTTGGGCAGAACATTTCTTTCTCCTTGTTTGAGAGGAGAGCTTTATGAAACTGCAATACCCTTTATGAAACTGCCAATTAATGGGGAGCTTTGTACATTTTGCTCATAGAAATATCCCAGTAGCTGCCATAACCTATGGAGGTTCATTCCCAAAGTGCATAAAATGACCACAGGCCTAACTACATTCAAAACTAAAAGAAAACCACAGTTCTTCAACTTAAACTTCCCTCCCTCAATAATTTCAAGGCATGTGCTCCTCAGTCTGTGAATTGGATCAAAAGCATTGCCTAGAGGCAAAGGGTCAGAGGAGATTCCACTTATGAAAAACAGGAGGCCCTCAAAAGGGTGCAACCTCAGTTGCTGAACAGACACCACAAATAGGATGGATAAAAGCCCACATGAGACTGGTATGTGAGCAAGCAGAAGCTGACAGTTGCCCCTCAGGAATACAGTATAAAGCTTTCAGTTCTGCAGGAGATATGATCTGAAAGTCTGCTTCCTGGAAGCAATCGCACCTGAACTGTTGCATGGTGCTGCAGTTGCATAATTTAGTAGTTGTCATGTTTCATCCCAAGGTGAGTGTTTTTGGTGGTAGTGTACATAAAAAATTTGTATGTCATTAGGAATAAAAGGGTCTATGCCAGACAAGGTCAGATATTAACCTCATGACTGACAGAAGAGGTCCATATTAAAACAAAGAAGGTGTTTGATTCCCTTTTGAATGTGGGCAGATGATTCAGACCCACGTGCCCTTCATATGCTCTGTCTCTCCCCTTCCTATCTCCTTTCTTTTGAAACAGATTTAAGTCCATCTACTTTTATATTTTCAAACAAAACCCATAAAAGGGCCATAAATATCATGACTTGCTAAAATGAAAGCTGTTTTCTTCTTCTCCCAGGAGACTCCTGCCTGAGAGAGAGACAGAAAGAGTTCACCTCTTTGAAAATTTCCTCCTCTGTCGAAGTAAAGCTGGTATCTAAAAGCAGCCTTCAAGGCTTTGTTCTTATCATCTTGACCTGGCTTTGTACTGGCTTCTCTCTGTATTGCTTGTGGAAGTGTGAAGGACAGGGCTAGGGGAAGGAGTTTTGGCTATCACTGGCAGAGCAAGGGTCATGCTTGGAAAGGGATTTCATTGTGGTTTCAGAAAACATTATATACTCAGCACACTGGCAGAAAGAATGAAGAAACTCATTCCCCTCCTGGATCAGACCAGTGATCCACCCCTTATGTCTCTGATGTTGGCCAGAACCAGATTCACCTCAGAAGGTATAAAGAAAGTTTAAGTGGGTAATTATGGAATAACCTGCCCTGAGTAAAAATTTCTCCCCTTCTGGCCCAAAGCCCTCCTTCATCTCTCCTCCTTGGTTAGAGTTCAGCTCTATGCCCTGAAGCATGACGGCTTCTCTCCCTTCCAAACTGCTTTTCATCCTGGCCTGTCTCATGTAACTGCCTATGACAGTGATGGGATGTATAGGTCTTGTCCATTGAGAGTCTGTGACAGATCATAGCCTTATTGGAAAGAGAGGCAGAGAGGCTGAAGAGAAGGCGAGGGAGGAGAGCATAAACTCAGATGAAATATCCATCAGGAAGATGGAAAGAAGAGTGAGTGGCTGGGAAACTAATTGCTGCCTGCTGATCTGGGCTGTGGAGATAGCTTGCAAGTGAGCATTTTTGCTTTTCAGAGATTTCAGCCTGGAGCACACTAGGAAAGTCAACTCTTGGTTGAAACTACTGTTCATCAATACTTCCCCATATATATATCTATATACATTTTTTTAAAGCTGTAGAAGTATGACAGTAGTCCTAAGAAAACAATTCCATTATAGTCTAAGAGAGCTTTTTCTTCCACTGAAGTTCACTAATAAGGTATTGGCATAATTTGGGGTTCTTAAACACTGAACATGCATGAAAATCAAGCTATTTTTCTACTACCCAAAAACTATTTAGGAATCCAAACTCAGATATTCCTGCCTAGGTCCTTATCCCTATTGTACAGAGATAGCTGCTCATAATCTTGAGTCCAGCAAAGCCTAGATTCTGTGGATTTGTTTGGCCATCACATAGGACATCAAGATTTATATGACACAATGCCAGATGCCTCAAGGTGAGGATTAGAATTGTGAAGGCTCTTGACTTTTTAGACATTGTCAACATTATCACAGGTGATAGCACTATACCACAAAAAGCATTAATGAAGTTCCAGGGAATGCTTAAATGTACTTTCTAGATGGACTTTCCAGTTGTATGCATGTTGAATGACAGCTTTCACTTATTTGTCCAGAAGTCCAACAATTCCTAGGGAAAGGGAAAGAAGAGATAGGTTTTGTATCATATCCAAATCTCAGAAATTATTAATTTCACTCCCACAGTATCCACTGTTTCCCATATTCCTTTCCCTCAAAAGTGTGGCAGAGGGGTCTGGAGTTTTCCAAGTGATGGGTGTTGAAATCACACCCGATCTCCTGGATACCAGGCTGAGGTGTTCAAAGCATCCTGCTGTTGTTGGCTGAGCACAGGAGATTGTTCATTAAGAAAAATGACTGTGTCATTCATACAGGGAACAGCTGCAGTGAGCAGCTCAGTGGCAGTGTTCAAGGCTCTGTAATCTCCTGTTAGTTGCCACTTGCCATTAGATTTTTTTTACTGGTCATAAAGGAGAATTGTAGGGGAAATGAGACGTGACAATAATTCCCTGTTCTTCCAGCTCCTTTATCAATTCAGTAACAGGACAAATAGCACCAGAAGGTAATGTGTATTGTGGAATATTAACTGCCTTACTATGGGGTGAAGGAGCAGCTGTTTGCAACAGATTAGCAGTCAGAGATGTATCTGTAGGAGATAAGCTTGGGGGCAGAAGGGGTGATGTCCCTATTTCCCATTTTCCTCACACTGACCCTTCAATACATCTATGCCCAGTATATTAAGGGCACCCAAAAGTAAGGTCGGGTGGATTTGTCTGTCCCTTAGACAGAATCAGCTTTGCCCTGACCAGAGGGTGGTTGCTGGGTTTCCCATTTTGGCCTGCAATAGAAACTTGACTGCTTGCAAAGCAGAGGCTGCCCTTTGTAAGTATACTGACGTGCCATGGATGTCTGGATTCTGGATTGTGTCAGTGAGGAATGTTGTAAGGTAGGGATGGATAATTAACTTGGAACCATCATCTTGGGACTGGGATCCTCAGCAGTGTGAGTAGCACCCACCTTAGTTTCCTAAATATCCAGTCTAGGTTTCGTGCTGGTAGGTTTGTATGTATCCCTGAGCTCACAGTACTTGCATGCTCTATCCCTTTGTGTAAAACAAAGCTTACTCTTCAGAATTTTTAAAAGTTTAATGAGGGGATAAAAGGGGACAATGTCTAGCACTGGGGTGTTTTAGCTATTGGCCAAAGGACACAACAGCAGATTAAGACAGTGTTATCTGTATACCGTTACATTACTGAGGTGCATGCATATTCATGTGTTTCATACATTATTCAAGCATTCTTGTGAGCTTTTTGATGTTTCAGGAACTCTTTTGCTTAATTTTACACTCTGACTTATCTGCATGACATCCTGTGGGCTAAGTCCATATATTTTATTTCTTCTTGTGTTTCCATCCTGTTGTTTCACACTCCCTGATAAGGAGTTAACAAGTTCTTCTATAATTCTTCTCCATGCTCCGGTTTGTGTCACTGTTATCTTATCACTTGGAGAGGTCAGTCAGCAGATGTGGGGGAAACAAGCGTAATTGCCCTACACTATTCCCTTAGTTACACAGGAGCATTTTAACATTTTGTGTTTTGCTAAGGCCTACAATAGAATACATTCATCACACCACTACTTCTACAAGCTACACAGTGCAAAAACTAATAGATTGTGTTACACTAATAAGCAGCCAAAAGGAGTTACAAATTGTACCATATCTAAATATTTATGATCAATAACAACATGTAAAAGTTAGTACATAAATGTGAAAGCCAATATTATATTGTCATTTTTAACACCTTTGAACATATGGTGTCACCCTGTCTCCAAACACAGATCCCAGAGGGTTATGAGAAATAAAAGAGGAAAACTTGTTCATTGCCACAGAAGGAAAGTTGGCATCTCAGAGACAGCTTCTTCTCTAAACTCATCTTTTACACTCAGTAGTAACTGACCATGTTTCTCAATTTTCCCTTTTGTCTTTCACATGGAGATAGGCTGGCTCTTTTACATTTTCTCAGCTGAGGATCTCCCTTGGCTTTTACCGTCTGGGATGTATAGTGGTAAATCTGCCAGCCTACACTGAAGGACCTCTTGGAGAGTAATACCACTTAAGCTTGTCTTAATGGCCAATGCTAAAGATTCCCACATCCCCTCAGCTTCCATTAGACACATTTCAGAAGTGTGCAGGCTCCCAAATCACCTCCCAAGGATGCAGTTCAGTTGGGCGGGGTTGTCAAGCTCCTGGAGCAAGAGGTGCTATTCCTTCCAATTCAGCTAAAATCACTGTTTTCACCATGGCTGCATAAAGGCCCATTAGTTCTTCCTGGCTCCCTGTCCTGCCTACGTGGCTCTGCTTCAATCCAATGCTGCTGCTCCCAGCACACATGAGGCCTTAGCATGAGCTGGGTTGGCCAAATCAGGAGCTTGAGTCACAGAAAGCCCGGGGTCTTAAGCAGACAAACAAAAACAAACAAAAGTGGTTGTTGTTACTGTTTATCAGGAAACGTAGTGATAGGAAGTGGGGTGACCATTTAAAACTGAAAAAGTGTAGATTTATATTAAATATTGGGGTAGATTTATATTAAGTATTGGGAAGAAATTCCTTACTGTGAGGGTGGTGAGGACCTGGCACAGGTTGCCTAGGGAAGTTCCATCCCTGGAAGCTTTCAGGGTCTGGTTGGATGGGGCTCTGAGCAACCTGGTCTAGTGGAAGGTGTCCCTGCTCATTGCAGGGGGGTTGGAACTGGATGACCTTTATGGTCACTTCCAACCCAAAACATTCTATGATTCTATGACTGTTCTCTTCTAATCCAGTTACACAGGGCTACTGTCTGGTATGTAAAGGGTGATAAGAATATTATTTCACTGAACTGACCTTATACATGTATCCACAGCTTGGTCTGATGATGCTTACACACTGTAAAATAATCCCTTATTTCTGGGCAAAACTAGCAAATCTGTCTTCTCTCCACAATTAAGTACCCTTTATTCCATTTTTTGGCCATGTTTACAGCAGCATAGCTGTTGCAAGTGTATAGAAAGTGTAAATAGCTTGCCTAATATTTTTCCTAGCCACCTTTCTCCTTGTTTCTCCTTCAGTTACGAATGCCTTGGAGAAGAGATCATTCTTGCTTAGTGCCTAAAAATGCCTTAGCTTATAGGGGGAGCTAGAGTAAATAAAAAAAAATAAAAATGCTGGATTCTATTTTCACTAAAAGAAAAAAATAAAGGCATGTTATAACCTTGATTTGGTGTGATTATACTGTAAATAGGCCATAAACAGTCAAAGGGAAAATAACCCACAATATTCACACCTTTAAGAGACTGTGAGGTGGTAATCGCTATTCTTCCCTGCTGTTCAAAATATTTTCCGAGTGTGCTCAAAACTGCATTGGCAGCAGAATGTGGCCCAATTCAAGGGTTTTAATGCTACTGCTAAGTAGAAATGATTTTTGTCCTCGAAATTTTCAGTGAAATAGTCTGTATTTTGCAAAAAGAAAGCATAGCCATTCATTGCAAAAGCACTAAGAAAAAAGGCAGAGACCATCAGAAATCTTTCTGATCAGATAATCCTATGTTTAACAAAAAAATATCCAGTTAAGGAAAAAGTACAAATGTTGAATTTCAAAAATAGGCATATTCCATCTGAAGATGCCAGAGAATCTCAGTATTGTGTACTGAAGTTAATAGGGAGCATAATGTCCACTTTATTCATGGGGAAACAGGAACAGAAATTTGCCTTCAGCTCATTTTTTCACTTGTCCCCAAGAACTGTTGCACTTTGCATGCCACACACAGAACTGGCATTTTAAACTGGCAGTATAGCTTACCTTTAAGACCACAACCCTTCTTTACAAGCAGCATGGCTACCCCTGCCTGTCACAACGCTACAGAAGGGCTCTGCCAGAGAATCGTTCCAAAAGCTTGCAGGGAGATGCTGTGCTTTTCCTGCCCTTTGTGGGTGAGAATCTTTTTCATCTTACATCCATGCCCATACTAAATACTTTAAAAATATTTTGCCTTTATGACCTATTGTTTCTCAGCATCCTTCTGGGCTGATAGATAGCTAAGGATACAGATATTTACTGTCACTACATTAACATCCAGAGGTCTTAACTAGCACCAGGACCCCACTGCAGCATGTACAGCATGCAGCACAATTCTAGATGTTCTCACCCTAAAAGACTTGCAAGTTAAATGAATGAAACAGACACAGGCTGGGAGAAAGAGACTGCATCTGTCAGGGTGTTTGAGACCCAGAAACGGAGCCCAGTGCTGTACATGGATACTGCAGCAGCAGCAGTCTGCAGGAAATTTCAAAAGATAGGGCAAAATTCATCTTGCTAACAAACATTCTCCATGAGCAATCACTCACCTCTCCATGGCACAATTAAACATGCACTGGCTCCGGAGAGCACAAGCACAACTTTCTAAACTGGTGATTAAGGCTTTTGCCTGTGAGGGGCAGACATATGTTTCAGGAGAGTGTGTGATGTGAAAGAGTATTCGTCAGTGCAGGCTTTTCCCCTCCCAAGTTATGGCTCCTGGCTGCTACCTTGCAAAGCAGCAGCACTGTGCCTTTTTGGCCCAAATACTTAAATAACAATTTCAAAAGGAAATATTTGATTTGGGACTCTTTAACAGAATAATCAACAGCACAGGGGAAGAGCCTGACACTTCCTTGGACCCAGATTCAGGTTCTCTTAGTGAGTTAAAATGCTGTCTTCTGAGACAGCCTGAACACTGAGCTACTGAGTTGAAAAAGGCCTTTTGTCACCTGTTGCTTATGGGCTATGTCTTGTCTGTGGATAATGTTGGTGTTAGAACCGAAGGTAACCTCAGGTCTGTGAGCACAGGCTGGGGATAAATTTCTTATGGCAGGTTCATGTTTATCCATCATAATCCAGTGTAATTGCAGACTGTCCCTAAAATATGCTGCACTGAATTTTACAGCGCTTCAATCATCTTTCGGATCTGGGTCACACTTATGGTACAGGTGGTTTCAAATATAATTATAGGCCATCACATGGATGGGACATACATTCCTGGCAAAACTGGCAGTTTTATCTGTGTTTTTCTGTTTGAGAAGTGATTCAGAAACAATCAGATTGTTCCTGGCTCTGTGTGGCAGATTGCACTTGAGCATGCAGCACCCTCCTAGACAGCAGAAAGCTGGGCTAAATCACTGGCTGGAAGTACTAGCCTGCTTTAGCATTTAACACTTCCTTAGCATTTAACAGTGAAACTCAGCAAAACGACAGCTTTTATTTTTGCTTTGTCCTAGGCTCAAAGGCTCTCAAGGCTCAAAAGATTGCAAATGCCTCTGGAGTATCAAAGCTTCAAATCCAATGTAGCCTGGCTATTATTCCCTTCAGCCTGAGCATGGGCAGTTACAGAGATGGGATGAATGCTCCCCATCTAGATAATTTAAAACCTATGTTTAGCATTAATTCTGTCAGTTTGGAGAGCAGGCAGCTGACAACACAGGGCGATGCAATACCCTGTGCTTCTGCTGGACTTGAACATGGTAAGAGACCATTGTGTGTGCTCTCTGGAATGGGAGGGGTTTAGGTGAGATGAGTGAATGGGCAGAAGAACCTGCTCTGAGGGAAAGGTCTGGACAGGATTTATGCAGGCAGTGACACAATCAGAAAGATACTGCATGAGGCACATTACAGTGGACACACTAAAAGTCATCCTATTCCCATATTCTACCATAGGGACTAAGTTACACACTGTGAATATCATGTTCCTTGCTTGAAGAAGAATAAAATACTGTTTGGCTTAAATCTATTCCTGCTTGTAAATGTAAATTAAATCTGTTCTCCTCCAAATTTCTTCTATTCTGCTGCTTTTATCTTTGTGTAAATTTTCTTTGGTGATTCCTCTGCTGTCAGTCTGGCCCTTACAGGTGAAAATCATGAACCCTTCTGAAGTTACAAGCTCTAGGAACATGTCCTTGGCTGGAGAGAACATGGAATTACAGAACCCCAACCAGAGTGCACTGGTACACTGTCTTTTTCTGCCCTCTTCTGTGCAATTATCTGGAGGGAAGTTCTCTAGGCCAGAGAAACTATATTCATAACATCCACTATTTAAGCCTCTCACTTGGATTCTTTCCTTGCAGTGAGAACTGACATACTGTCAAAGTTGACAGCACTATGCCAGTTTATTGCACCAGAAGACCTGGCTTTTCCTTTCCTCCCTTCTGCAGAGCTTGGCTGCTCCCATTATGTGAACCCTTTCTCACTCCTGCCCCTAATAAAATCTCCATGCTTCACATGCTCCCTCAGCCTCCCTTTGATTCGTGCTCCCAGAGTCTTCCTCGCTGCTGACGTCGGGAGCGTGCACAGCTCTGTAATTTCCCGACAGCCCTTTTCAAACACTGCCTTTTAATCAGGTGCTGTGTTTTACCAGCACTTCCTTCTCTCACTGAATGCCTTTGAAGCGAGGCTGCCAACACTGGTGGGGTTCCTTCTCCACTGCCTTTTTTTGTTGTTTCTATACAGAATTCTAGGACAGAATTTTGTAGCTTTTTAGAAGCTCTGATTTATTTTTTTTTTTAATACTTTTTTTTTTTTTTTTTTTTTTTTTTTTTTTTCTGTGTTGTGATCCTAATTTCCTTCAGGATTTCTTCTTCCTCTCCTGGGAAATTTGTCTCTATTTCTGGCATCTGTCCTTCCTAACCCTTCCCACGTTTCTTCCCTTCTAAAGACAGGGGAAAAGAATCCATTTAATATTTTTCTGTAGTAACGTCTATCTCATCTGTCAATAAATTACCCTTTGCCATCTCTGGGAGACCCCTTTGTCTCCCTTCACTGACCTTATTCTGTACCTTGCCTGTTTTTTTTTTAAGGGAGGATGCAATATCCCTGGGCTGTCATTCCATGAAGAACAGCTGTCATTCCTCCCATAGTGTATGCGTATGTGTTTGAGGAGGGAGGGGAAAGGGAGGGGGGAATTAGGGGAGGATGGGGTTCTGCTGTTGGGAAATATGATGGTCCTATTCAGAGTGGTAAATGTTTTTTCATTCATGATATTCCGCTGCAATTCTGTCTTTTTCTTCAGTGGTTTTAGACATTCATTTTCTTATTAATCTAACACTATCTGACATATAAATACACAAATATTTATTAAACATATTTTAAAAATTTGTTATGTATGCATTTTATAAATGCCTAATTTCTGCACATTCTCTGCAACTGTGAATGCTATCTCACTCTCAGAGCTGCAGTCTAATACTACAGAGGTGGGTTCAGAAAGCATTATCTGTGGCTAAAAAATGTGACTTTTCCATGTATTTTCAGCATTACAAGCTGAAAAGCTCTCTGAGAGGGTTAAAGAGCATGGTATAGTCCTGCATGTAACTAGCTAGCTGTGCAGACCTGCAGAAGGAAGAGACAGATCCACAAATCCAGCAATTCCTCCTCTGTCCTTACTCCTTGTGTTTTTTGAAGCTCCCAGACTCCCAGATAACTCATCATGGAGCATTCCCTGCATTTCTTGTGGTCCAAGGGCTTTGTGCATAGCACAGGTACAAGTTCCTTTCTTCCTGCTCCTGCTCCCACACACAATCGAACCAGATATTAATGCAGTTTGAAAAAACAAACACTAGTTCAGATCAAATTCTACCAATGTGGTTTAAGAAACAAAGGAAGTAAATCCACCAAAGATGCTCTCACCTCCGTACCTTCTGGCAATTACACTTCTTAATGCATTTATTTTCACAACATGGGCGTGAAATAAGGAAATGCAGTTATTGTCTATGGTGTGCATAGAAACACACCAAAGCGACCTCAAGGCACATGCTGAGGCCCTTATTCTCTGAGTACCTGACTCAAAAACCTGCTGAAACACACTGTGAGTCTTGTTTGATCCAGCCTTGGGGATTCCTTTGTTTGGAAACCAGCAACAGGCACCATGTTTGTGTCACAGGCCAGGTCCAGGCATGGCCTCTGGACCTGTGAGTTCAGAGGTGTTCCAAAGGCCCAGATTAGCAACACTAGAGAAAGACTGAAGAGCTTAAGACAAAGAGAATATCTAGATACAACATACATACCAAGCTCCTCACTTCCTTGTCCTGTGCTAGCAGGACATCAGCAGAACATCTTTTCTCTTAAAAGCACTATAGTACTTGTTTTACAGCTAGTTTGTGATTGATGTCCACTCTGGTCCTTTCTCTCTCATCTGATGGCTCTGGCAGTCCCTGCTTGATTTAGCCGTCCCAGCCGAAAAGGTAACCCCTCTCCACAGCTAGAAGTAATAAATTCTTTAGCCACCACAGCAAAATACATTGATATGATCTTGAATTAAATCACTCATGTCTGCAGTTCTCAGTCCAGGATATCACAGTAAATTGGTATCAGCTGAAATCAGATTTACATTAGTAAATGTATCAGGCTGTGAGCTGAACAGTTTGCACTGGCCACACCACTCATTCAGCCACCTCTTCTTTGGGATAACTATCTCCAGCACCTTAGTAATGCAGCCAGCTGAACAGTGGTATCTGTAACTTCTCCAGGGGAAATCACTGGGGCTTGGGAACCAGAGCCTTTACTTCCCTAGAAACAATCCGTGCCTTCAAGGACTAAGGCTCTGTCTGCATATGGAAATCAGGTTTTCAAATGTATTCAAATGTTGGTAATACCAATTCTGCTCCAGCATCAGGAAGAAGGTGTGGAGTCTACTGAAGAATAGCTCTTGGCTACTGCCATCTTCAGGACTATCCCACATTAATTACTCAGGTCTCTTGTAAGAAGACACCTGTGGCAACTGGCAGAGTATCTGCACAAACATTAGCGGCCTTGAGGCTGAGAAACTGTTAAATAGCCTTAGTAATAGAATATTAAAATCTTGATGATGAGTGAGCGTGGGTGGAATAATTGTCTGCTCAGAAAGAGGCATCTTTTTCTCATTCTATTCCTGTTGTTGAATCCTTATCTCCTGGATAAATAAAAACAAACTCCCCAGTTATTGTTCTCGTTCACCTTTTGACTCTTGATTAGATTTACTGCAGATACACCCCTCTGGCAATGAAAATGGAATCAACACATTTCTGATGTACTCCAGTGGAATTCTCAGCTCCTGCTCCATCCTCAGACCACCAACGTCCTCGTTTTCTGAATGGTGGTTACCTGTCCTTCTAGCACATGAATGAGATACAACTTTCAGAGAGATCACTTGCCTCGATTAACAGACTTTCTCTTTCACTTTGAATCTTTATCTTATTTTTAATCCTCAGCACTTGGAGCCAAACCTGACACCTTTCTGAGGAGAGAAACCCACGGTGATACAAGCTGCCTTGCTCGGATTGCTTCTCCTTTCTATATTTTTCAGTGTTTTCCCAGATGAGGCCCCAGGATTATTGCAAACGAGTCCCAGGAAGAAATGCTGCTCAATTAGGCGAAAAGAAACTCGAAGGAAAAAAGGAGTAGAGCCAGCAAATTGCTTGAGATAACAATCTCCCCCCACCCGTGTGTCTCTGTAACTAAGAGGATTAGCTGAACTTTCTGTGTCACACCAAAACTGACAATAAGCAACAGTGACTTCCCCCCGCTGGCACTTGTACCTTCACATGTTTCATTTTCTTGCCCACACTACTGCCTTGCCCCTTGCTGATTGTATGACAAACTTGGGGATGAACATGATGGCTCTTTCCTTTCCTTTAAGATTTATGACTCAAAGCCAAATAAAACCCAACTCAAGTTATTACATGCTCTGTTTCCTCCTAACAACAACTCACTTTTAACAGTGTAAGCTAAGCAAGGAAACATGGAAATATGGTCTCCTTGATCTCACCTGATCTGTCTGCTGCTAGAGATGCAAACAGCAGCCTCGGGTCTGCCAACACGGGAGCAGGCATAAAGACATCCCTTGGGAGCAGGACCAAACGTCTGGAATATATAAAGAAGAAGTCCCATCAAAATTCAAAGTAACTGAGGTTCCATGTAGATACAGCACTGCCAGCAAGGAGCTGGATGTTTATTTCAAGTTAAGATTTATCATTCTGTGGTAGGAGGACTACCTAGGGTAGTCTTGCAGTGAAAGGAAATTAACTTTGTTAAAGGACTGTGTCACCAGTTACGGAGTCAGCCCCATGTTCCTCTGACAATGGCGTACACATGATGAAAAGAATATTGCTCGTGGCTGAAGATGATCAAACATCAAATAATTCCAGTTTCTAAAGTAAACTAATTCCTTTTGCTGACCTGTGTAGAACATCACTCTAAACCTGGTGAACAACTCCTTTCCCTGAGCTTGCCAGAGAATTTGTACAGAGAGATGAAGTTCTATGAGACAAGGCAAAGGAGGAGCATTCTCCCACCCGCACATGCTCCCTCCCTTCTCTTCCCTGAGTTTCCACAGAAGACTACAGCAGAAGGTGGTGGTAATCCAAAAGATGAATGTCTCTGATAACTGAAGGGCTGCACGCAGGCACACTGACTAAGTAAGCGCCTGTGCCACAGTGAAGAAGGAACTTGAAAACAAGAAGGAGGCAGAAGAAGAAGAAAGAAGTAGAAATGATTTCACACTGATGTAAAGCAGATACCAACACACAAAAAGGGAGTGTTGTGATAAAACAAGTTGGGATGTGGGACTCAGGTGATCACCACCAGCATAAGGATTGAGGGGAAATGCTGACACAGCAAATTCTGCAGGCAGTATTAGGGTTGGGTCATAAAATGCATGGGACTTGCCAGTTCTTGTAAAGCATTTTACTGAACTAGGCATCTGTGCTGTATGCCCTCTCATTGCTACACAACTCCCTGGACCTAAATTAAATCACTATGGCACTTCTGCCATGTTAAACGGTGCGAGCAGGTACTCTTAGGCCACATAAATTCAGTGAAGTAGTGTTTTGGGTGTCCCTGTACAGCTTTATTTGTGATCAAAGGGTATGGTGTTGTGGGGGAGAAATACTTCCAGACAGATTTAGACTTTTACTCCAAAAATCTGTTCAGACTGAGGCATTGTAAAAACTGCCCGGTGTATTGCCATGGGGCAAGACTGCCTTGTCACTCTGTAGCAACCCCTGTCTCGCCTGTATGGAGCAGCAGTTTTAGTTCAAAGGGATCCAGGTCCATTCTCTTTCCCCATTTACATGAAATGGGACTAGAGTGGAGCGTGGCAGCCTATTAACAGTGCCCCACAGCACTGCAAGAGTTCTGCCTAGAGAGTGAAGGACACCGTGTCCAATTGAAATTACAGAGGAATTTGGGGTAGGCAGAATGTAATTACACAATTGGAATTTAAACTGTGAAATTAAAAGGAAATATTCAAGGATGAAGGGGCAGAGAGAATCCCTAATCTCCAGCCAGGCTAGGCTGTGTGACAGAAAAGTCCCTTTCTGAAGAGGGAATAAGCAAAGAGCTGTCCTGGAAGAAAGGGAGGTAAAGAATAAAGACAATGTTTTCAAAAGCACCCTAACTCCAGCTGTGTGTTTGTTTCATAGCCTATGTCTATTCTACAGAAAACCTTGCGGTTGCTAAAAGGCATCAGATGTGTCCCTCTTGGCCCCCTCTTCACTGAGGTCAAAAACAATTTGGTTCCTCATGTAAGCAGCACCAAAGCATTCCCAAGGTCTACAGCAGAAAGCATGCTGTACAACTGGCCAAAAAAAGGAGTTCAGCCCTGGTTTTCATATGGGTACAAACCAGAATTTGCCCTTCTACCCAAGTTTGTCACACTGCTGGCACTCTTGCTTTAGTATCTGAGCTTTTCCCAAGTCTCAGCTAATAATCATCCTAACAAAAACAGGTATTTTTAAGGGTTTTGCTGTAGTAAGGGGAGGAAGAGAAAACCACTGAAAGCAGATCTGTGACAGTTATGAGTGGCAACTTGAATCAGGCAATTGCAAATCCCACTCTTTAGAGATCTGAATCAAGTTGTAGGACCCCATTGTCATCCCTCTCAGATCAGAGAAACAGGTAAGGATGCAGCCAGCCTTGTGGGTCTCTGGGAGAGGAACATTAACAGCTGAACAGGGTCCTTCAATCAAGGTACAACAGAGAGAACTGGGGGCCCGTCTTCTTGTGCTGCCCAGCTACACCTGCAACCAAAGACAAGTTTCTTAATTTCTCTGCTTTGGTTTACCATTGCTAAAAAAGCACAGCAATAGTTTCCTAAGTCCTCAAAGCTGGTGATTTGTAAGATGTAACTGGTTAAAATCAGAAGGTTCAGAAGTTGCATTGATGACAACTTTTGAAATGCATACAAAAAAAAATGAGCTAAAGTAAGTGCAGGCTAAGCACCAAGGAGTGAGAAATAGATTGAAAACCCCACCTGAAAAGATAAGTGTTCTTTTAGTAATTACCTCTCCCTTTCTTGAGGATGTGTGAAGATTCTGATTTACAGGGTTTTTTAAAAAATATTAAATGAAAAACATGCTTCTTTTTTGTCCATGCTCCGCTTCTTATCTCCAAAAAATCAGTTAACTGCACTTGGGAGGGGCAGAGTTTTATGAGATGGTACAAATTTCCTGGTATAATTTTATTATCGTTAAGATTCAGAGGAGTGGCGACAGCTCTCACAAACAGGAGATTCAGGGTCATCTTTTCTCCAATCCAGAGACAACAGAATAGGGTCAGAACCGAAGGCGGAAAGCAATCTGGCCAAAGGCAGCCAGAGGAGTGTGCAAGGGGAAAAAAACAGCCAATATATGCAGTGGACAGTCTCCATTTCTCTTCTGCTGTTCGTGCTCAGCACTCACAAGGTGCGTAGGAAGGAGATCTGAAGAGGGGGAAAACTATAATAATGGAAAGAGACAGTACTGGTGGGTCCCAAGCCTTGGGGATAAGGGTAGATTCTTTTCCATGCTTGGGAACAGGAGGAGGGCGTGGAACAACGCAGGAGAGAAAGGAAAAACAGCTTTGTGGTTAAAGTACTGAACTGCACAGCATCAGAGCACCTAGGTGCAAGTCTGTGTCCCACTAATGTCGGCTGTGACACTGGAGGGACTACGCACAGTCTTTATGTTGCTTTTCTTCACTTCTCCTCCTCAACCAAAAAGGTACTAATCCTATTTTTCCCTCGTTCTTTCCCTGCCAGCTCTCTAAATTGCAAGCTTTTTGAGACACAGTGTCTTTTGCTATTGATAGCATGTTCAAAAAATAACGCTGTAGCAAGAAGACTGCCCGTTGCTCTGTCAGGTAGTGTATGACGATGAGAAATAGGAAACAGACAGAAACACACAGATAAGTTTAATTAAATGTGAGACAATCTGTGCAGTCCCCAAGTGAAAGGAATACAGTGGTTTTTGAGGATGTATGTATGAAAACATAAGGGGCAAAGAAAGACTGTTTTGAGGCAGAAGCCTCTAATAATCTGGATGACCAAAGGGAAAGCAGAAGCAAACGTAATTTTAGTAACAAGCCCTCCTGTAGGAGAGAAATCTCATGTGAAGAAAACAGCATAGAGAGAAGGGGGACATCGTGTGAGAAAAGCAGCATCTGGGATTCACATCTGAGTGGCACGGTGGAATTGGAGCAGAGCAGATAAGTTTGCTCTTAATTTCCCTATACACTAGAGCTGTTTCGTGAAAAGGATAATTTCCTTCCCACTGTGCTTTTTGCTTAAATACTGTGATTTCTGTTTCTTTTGCTCCCTGCCTTCCCACCTCATGTTTCTTTTGTCCTCTGCCTCCCTACCTGAAAAAAAAAATAAAAAAAATTGTCTGTGAAACACTACTGAATTAATTCTAGCAGGAGATAGAAAATTCAAAAGGTCACATAGCAATCAGAGAAAATTTGGGGTTATGGGCACAAGTCAATCAGGCCAAGGAGGGCTAGGAATTAAGAGGTATCTGGTTCACCATCAAAACAATGGACGCAGATACGCTGCAGAGCTTTATAAGATCCTCAGATACCATTTCTTCCCTTTACATGTGGTGTTGATTTTGAACACTGTATTGTTTTTCACCGCCAGAAAATCTTTTTAAAGCAAAATCCCTGTGAGAGGCAAGTCTGTGTGGCTGACAAGTCCAGCCAGAGAACAGAATCACAGGGTCCTGCTCGCTGCTCGCTGCCCTGGGCTCTGTTTCACCACCAGTGTGAGCCCAGTCTCACTGACTGCAGCTGAACAACCAACTTTCTTACTTATGTCTTTTTGTGAAATGAATCCAGAGTACTCAGCTCCTCGTAGGACTAAGCTTTGTATTATCTTTGTGCCCAATTATCTCAAATTTCAAGTATTTCCAGCAAGTTGCTCATGAGTAAGACACCAGTCAGGCACTACGTGGCACTCACAATTGAAAGAGAGGTAAAATTTATCTGATAAATTATTCATCACTAATGATTTGGCCAGCTTTCCTGGATATATAGCCACAGGGATGTATGACACCTTGGGGAAGGCATCAGATAGAGATGCATTCAAAGAAAACTAGAGGAGAGGATGCAGACATAGATCCAGACTAATCTTTACAGGGAGAAGGAGAGCACCTATGTGGCTTGACTGAATTAAGTTCTCTTTATAGGTGGTCAATTAGAAAACACAGAGCAGATTAATAACTACCAGAAAATGACCAAAAAAAAAAAATCACAAAAAAACCACCACCAAAAAAATCCATCCCCCAAAAAAAAACTAAAACCCAAACCACTAGCAACTACTTGTTTTCAGACATCTTTTCTGCAGCAGCTGTGGGTTCCAGCTAAGTGTGCAGAAGCTGAGCGAGAGCAAAGGCTAAATCAGGTGTGGTAATGGGAGCAAATTCTCCCCAGCAAGAAGCTGCTGGGATCAGGGAAGAGGCTACTGAGAAGTGGCATGCCAGACTGAGAAGAGTCTTTGGGTGAGATAGGGAGATACGGGAGAGAATATTCAGCGTAGGCAGGATTAGAGCTGCGCAGAGTCTTAATCTAGGCAGCCCTTTCTCTACACCTTTATCTGTCCTGGTGCAGCCCCTGCGTGCTGCAGTGCTGGTATAACCTGGCCATAAAACTGGATTAACTGGCCCACGAGGATCATGGCTGAACTGAAGAGGAGCACGACAATATGCCTTTGTTTACATGTTCGCTCCTGTGAGTGCAACACAGATCTTCAGGAGACAAAGTGCTTAATTGCTGGTTTAGGGTGTCAGCAAATGAATGTGCATGAGTAGAACTGGTGTTAGGGGAAGGTTTTTGCTCTTTCACAGTGCAGTCCATTTCTGCTAGTGTTTTCTGCAATAACAAGAGGTTATTTTATAAGATGGCAAGAAAAAAAAAAAATCCCATTACCAGAGGACCTTACTTTTAAATAAAAATGACAAAATTACCTTTCAGATTCATCCCTTGGAGATACACCCTGCTGTCTCCCTCGTCCAGCTTTTCCTTTTTGGCTCTTTCCTACCAATGAAAAAATCTAGTGGCTGTCTCTGATACGACTCCTAATTTCTTCAGCAACAGCATGCAAGAACAGATCCCTGACAGCTCCTCTTACTCCACAATGTTTTGCACCTCAGAAGAAAATCCGGCTTGGACTCTGACCCATCTGAGTTAATGACTCTTGGAAAACGTTAAGACTGAGTCCTTAATGAATGCCATTCTATACCAGGCTCCCTTTCTTCTTTTTCTGGAAGTACATTACAAAGCTCAGGGATAGTGTGTGTTTACGCAATATTAAGAATGTGAGTAAGTTTTACTTTTACTCTGCCAAATCTGTCAAGAATTAACAAAGTTTTGCCACTATGGCTGATTGCTTGTCCTAATTTGAAAGCTTTGAATCTAAAGCTAATTTTATTTGTTGGTCCCTCTGGTCTCATATTTACTCCCCTTTAACGAGGGAGGCATGAAACCTGACTCCCCTTCCAGGACAATTTGACGCGGGAAGTGTAAGAGGATAAAGTATTTGAGAAAAGCACCCCAGGAGCATTGGGTTGCCCAGAACGAGGGAATGTTGGGGTGGGGTTTTTTTTTGAACAGAGGAGAATTGCTTCCATGGAATCGCTCTTTTCTGGAGGAAAAGCAGACCCTCGCTCAGGCACCTTCCTCCATGGGAACCACAGGTTCTGCAATTCCATTTTCCCTGGATGCAATTCCTCTTTATTCACAGGGGCTTAGTCCTGCCCAGGGCTTGGGCAGTACCTGGGTGCAGGTGAAGTCCAGACGGGTATTTCCACACCACCGCTCACAGAGACAGCGCCTTGGCTCTTCACAGGGAGGCTCCTGAAAGGCACCTGTCCCCCACAGATTATTTCAAGCTCAACCCCTCAAAAAATGTGTCCACTACTGATTATCTGTTTACCTCAAAATCTTCATTCCCTCCCCTACAGATCACCTCAGATTTCACCCCCAGAATATGAATTTTGTCCCTGATAGCTACCTAGATTGTACCAGCATGAAAATACAATGGCTACATTTACCTTATCCCCAAATTGTTCATTCTGGCCCTAAAGATTCAATCAGATTTTTCTTGCAAAATGCTTTTTCCTTACAAATGACCTGAAGTTTTTCCCCCAGATTTTTCCGTCACTAGTGATTACCTCGTTTTTTCCTCAATACGTCCATTCTCTCCCCTAGAGATTATCTTAAGTTTTAGCCCCCAGTTTCCCTTCCTATCCACTACTGACAGACAGCTTTGCTTTTACCTCAATATGTCACTCCTCTCCCCTACTGATTAACTCAGATTTTACCCCCACAATTTCCTCTTCCCGTCCACTCCAGTCACCTTAATTTTATCTCAAAATGTTCATGCCCTCCCCTCGAGTTTTACCCCCAAAACCCTTCCTTCCTGCCCACTACTGATAACCTTGTTTTTACTCCAACACGTCCATGCTCTCCCCTACAGATTACCTCCGATTTAACCCTCAAAACATTCAATTTGTCCTCTGAAAATTACCTAGATTTTACAATCATAAAAAAAACCCAAAAAACAAACCCGAGGACTACGGGGAGGACCTT